TGATAGGCTGATGTTCCCGGTCAGATTCAAATGCGAAATTTATGCGACTTTCTGGGACTGAACAAACTATAATTTTTTCTATTGCTAGACACAATGACGGGCCGGATAGAATCATTTAGCGGGCCGGATATGGCCTGCGGGCCGTCTTTTGCCCACCCCTGGTCTAGATGCACAGTCCTTAATGGGCTGAATGGCCGGCTTCTACACTGTAAAATTCTATGAAATTGACTCATTTTGGAAAAGTGACGTATACCTCCCTGGTTAACATGGTGTAATACATGTGGTCCTTAGAATTCAGTTCTGCCAGTGTCTTGAGTAAATTAAATCATTTGCTCATTACCGGAAGAATAAGCATCATTTGCGGCATACCCTCAAATTCTGAGGGTTGAGCTATTCTGGATTCTATATATATCAAGTGAAATGATTGAGTCTAATTAGATGATCTAACCCAAAGTTAATGGGATGAAAAAAACAATATTTCATAACAGGTTTAAAGTGATCACATTGAACCTGATACAAAATGACACATTGATTGCCCATTGGTTGCACTGAGAATTAATTCAATAAACAGCGATCAGTTGAATAATTGTAAGGGTAATTACGTGCTTTTAATTAGATTCTCTTTATCTTTAGGATTCTTGGAGGAAAAATACAGCAAGATGTTTAAGTTCAATCTTATGGATGATATAATTTTACCGCAGGCAGTGATCTGAGGTGGGGCCTGGAACAAAGCAGGGCAGCAGCCTGGAGTTGTATCACTAGTTCTCCCTCCAGATTTCGATACAAGAGAATCGGAGCTGTCCACATGCTTAGAATTCTGCTAACAAAACCACATTCTGATTTATTCCATCTCAGGAAACATTAAAAACCATTGGACCATTCCAGGATTTTTTAATAATTGTTTTAAGGCTTGGATTCACATCCAATGCAGTCTGACCAGTGTTATGCTACAGCCAAAGGAAAATGGCCACCTCTGGCTCATAGGACCTGAAACTAGTGCATGGTTTGACACAAATTAATTATAATAATCCTTCTATTTAATGTAGAGCATTTTATGACAGGACGACATCTCAAAGGACTTCACAGGGCATAGCTTAAAGCGTAGTGACTGTATTTTGTAGGCCATTGATGTGTAAACCTAATAAAATTGACATAAGTTGTGTTCTATAACTCCAGCAATAATTGCATTGGACATTATGTCAAGTGTTGCAGCATATGTTTTGGCAATGTAAATATGTACTTTTATTTTCCATTCAATATATTTATCCCTTCAAGTACTGTTCACAATATTCCTTCCACTAATTGTGTTTAGTTGCTATCGTAATAATAATAATAAAAGCCAGATTTCTATTACCATTACTTTAATCATTCTAACAAAGGTGGAATAGACAAAAGGAGTATGATTATGGGTCACCTTAATTCCCAGAACAGCTAATAGAAATATTTCACACTGCTTAAATTGGTCACAGGGCCTTATATCTGAATATTGGCCTTATATCTGAATATTGATTATTTTTGCCTTACATTGTTAAGAGTGTGAAGAAACAAAGGTGTGATTTGTTTTCCATTAGCCATGGCTGAGAGTAGTGCAACTGCCTGACAATGCTTGTCTGCAAAGTTTGACTGCTGTTAACAAAGAGGGAAAGTAACAGACCAGATTTCTGATCTTGACAAGCTCAGCAAGTCTTGGGGATGTGTCACTTTGAGATGTTAAACCAAGTTCCCATCTAGCTGTTCAGATGGACATTAAAGATCCCATGAATCCTACTAATCTAAAAGAGAGGGGAGTTTCTCTGAGTGTCCTTGGTCAACAATCACCCAACTAAAATTAATCATTGTTGAAATGGGCTGGAGTTAATCATTTGCTTCATGGATGTGGGACATTGCTGTGCACAAATTGGTTGCCGCACTTACCCACAAATATACAGTCATACATTTTACAATATTTCCTATGTAACACAATGAGATGTCTTCCAATGTGACAGCTGTATCATAAGTAAAGATTATTATTATCATCATCACTATGGAGACAAGTCGAAAACCAAAAGCTCTCCTTGTCTCTGCTGTCAAAACAGAGTTCTGATCTTGAGTCCATTTGAACAATTGTTATGATTCAAAATCCTTCCAGTTTTTGCCGTGTTATAGGAAAGTATTTCCTCTCTAATTTTACGCTTTGTAAACTCCATATTAAGTCTGTCTTTGCTTTACACAGTATGAGGAATCTCCAGGCTGGAGGAATCTCAACTATTTCACTTATCATAAACCTGCCTCGTATTAATCAAAGGACAGGAATATGGCAATGCTCAACAGAAAACCTACAATGTGTCTGTTTGCCAGTTATAATAATAAATTGGTCATTTTCAATCTACGACTGTTTGCGGGACACTGCTGTGCGCAATTGGCTGCCGCGTTTCACTCACAAATATACGGTCAATTCACTTTACAGTCTATTCTGTGAAGCACTTTGAGACGTCGAGAAGAACGTGAAAAGTGCTATATCAAATGCAAGGATTACTATTATATTATTCTATTATAAAGGACGTTCACTCCCACATTAAGTTGAGCATATTTCAGTCAGTGATAAGTAAATAATAAATAATAATAATACTTGCATTAGTGTCTTATCACTTCTTCATAAAATAGTGTCCCACAGTGTCCCACAAACAGTGGTGGATTGAAGTGACCAAATTATTATTGTTTTTTTCTTGAGGGATTATTATCAGGCGTGTGGAGTAAGGAAACTTGCCCAAGGTTTCACCCTGCCGGAATCGAACCCAGGCGAGTGCTCTAACCACTGAGCTACAGGACTCCAAAATGAAGATGAATCACATAACCCTGATAATTTGTGAAACTTCCAGTACTACCCTTGATTTTTTTAAACATTAGGTTTGCAAACATAATTGATTGTAAAGAAATATAATGCAGATCAGCAGCCATAGAAAATCATATTGTCTGTTTCAGGTGATTTGCTGCTGTTTACTCATATATCATGTTTTTTCCATCAGTTCAACGTTAACATAATCATGGTGTTCTATGTGACAGATGTACTAAACATTTGGAAAAACATCCAAACAACAGCGCAGTTCATAATGTTTGACAGAATTGTTACATGCAAATAGCTAACGCACTGAAGTGGAATTAAATATTGGAGAATTTCACTCAGTAGATTGCAGTTAAAACTACTGTGATGGAAAGCTTTACAGTGCATTACTTAGCAATATATTAGTGCTTGAAACCACAACAAGCTGTATAGTTTTGCAGTATATTGAATCTGTAGCATTCAGGAAAGTCAACAGCTTGACTATTAGTTTCATTCCAGTGAGCTGTGCAAATGCTCGCTGAATGGAGTTTTGCAATACACTGTGGGAAGCATTGCAAAATGTAGAGAGTTAGTTATCCAAATCACTGATACAGTATCAACATTTTGTCTATTGATCATCACCCAAAATAAATAAGAGCAAAGCATTGACTTGAGAAATAATGTGATTTTGATATAAAGTTTAACCAGCGTGTTCTTGACTATTGATAGCAATTGTAGACATCCAGTGCAAGATATTTGGGAATTTGCTAATGTTAGTTAGTTAGTTAATGTTAGAAGTGTGCAGTATTGAGCATTAGCATTAGAAGTATTAACAAACCTGTTAAGGTGCACAGCCAATGCGCAAAGTACATCAATAAATCTGCCTTCTCATTGGGTACTACTCAGTTGTTAACTTTATGCCATATGTCCCTTCAGCATTATAGAATTTCAAGTTCTTATGTACATGTGTTTTTATCACTCAGAAAAATCTCATGCTTTTATTTTTTTAAAAAAAGTCTTTGCCAATGCAGTACGTGTTCTATGTAATACTGAAGTAAAAATTGATGCATTGATTGGGAAAATGTCTCATTTGGTGGACTAAAAGCTGAAGTGTCAGATGTAGATCATCTAGTAGGTCACATGTTACTTTCTCGTAAAGCATAAAACAGAGCTGTAGTTATACACCAAGGAGATGCACACCAACTCTCAGGTAAGTGGGAAAAGACAGAGAAAAGCAGCCACAAAGCAATAGATCTTCTGCCATTCATAGACCAAAGACTGTAGCAATCAAAATTTCTCTTGCTGCTAAATGTGTCGGCTGACGTAAAAAATTCCATTACCAAGGCTCATCGTCAAAGTTGCTACATTAGCAACAAGAAATATCTGTCAACATAAAGTGTACTAGATCTTGTGCGTGTTCAAGATTTCTGTCAGGTAGGGGGAAAAGCTAACTTTTCTACAGTGCTCTTTACTCCTCTTCATTTCTCCTGGATGCATTTGTCTCCTTTTTCCGGCAATGAAAGTACAATTCCACACATGCCAAGCACGCTCTTGTACTTTGTTCAATTGGTATTATTATGAGAACATTTACAGTGTGTATTGACAGGTTATTCAACTACAGAGAGCATCATAACTGAATCTAATCATATCCTTGGCTTCAATCATGTTGCATTTCAAAACGTGCACCAATGGAGCAAGCTGGTTTTCTGCAGTGATATCACAAGATCACACCCATTATATTGGGTATGATCATCTATCACACCCAATATAAGAAGGGGAATTTTATGAAGCCAAATAATAGGATCCTATTGCATTTGAACTGCTCAACGAGCCGAGTATAAGTCACACAGACTACTTCAATTATTATGAGGAGTCCTGCTCAGATTCCTTATCAAGTGAATTGACACATATTGGTTCTCGTTGATTCTGCATTGTTATTTCTGTTGCTGTAAAAGGTGCTTGTTTAATAATAATAATAATAATAATAATCCTTGCATTTGATATAGCGCTTTTTACTGATTTAGTATTGACATATCTATTTTAGTTATCTCAGTGTCTTCCATTGTTAATTGCTCATTGAGGTTTTGAAGTATACTGTATTGTTTTTGCACTGAAATATTTATACTCCATACTTTGGGACATAAACTTTATTTCTTCCCTACATTTGATTAATACTTGTTTGTTCATTTTAAATTCCAAGGTTTATATTTTTGAAAATAATATCTACTACCAGACTGATGTAAAGAACAGTGCTTTACGTCTTACTTCATCGGGGAAAGAGGGAATAATCTACAATGGCATTGCAGACTGGTTATATGAAGGTAGGAGGCAACACATTTATTACAATACAACAGCCTGAAGCAAAACTCAAAGCAAATGAAATTAGAGTATCATATTTCCTTGGCCATGTAGTAGAAACTATTCTCGTTCTTTCTGCACAAGTGTCAGTACTCAATTTCTGCAAATATCTTTACCAAATTAAACACCACAAAGTTGTCTTTGCGTAAACTTATATTGACTGTAATATATTGAGTTACCGATGTTATCACTTTTAGTTTTTCAGCCATTGCCTCCAAAAGTGACAAAAAAGTTAAAGAGATGAGAACAAAGTTGTTCCAAATGCAATGCAGTTTGTCCTCAAGAAGATATTCAACTGTTCTTGAGTTCACTATAAAATGAGCTATGTTTTCTGCTGTTTTATGGATGCTATTTTGATGACCATGTGCAATTAAAAACAACCTGTAAATACTTGTGCTCCCTGGTGGGATAGGAACCTGAGGAAATGAAATCCCCTGTGTACCAAAACTGTGTTACTATTCTTTATTATTTTTAAACGATTGTGTGAATAACATCCATCTTCCCTTACTTTATCCTCTTCACACATGGGAATTTGCCCGACAAACACAGAAGGATATCACTAAGTAAGAGTCTAAAGTGCAACATTCACAAATGTTCTGTAATTACAGCTTCTGATCAAGAATGATGCACTGCAAAATTCACTGCAAAAAGAGATGTACAAATGGTAAATCGCGAATGGCAAGGTGGCAAATAATAAATAATGTTTTATTATTTTTTCTTTACTCTGCTGCACTGCTCAACACTGTTGTTGTATTGCACCATGGGCCTTGTCCCCCTCGCCTTGGATTTTTAAAAGAATTGTATTTTATAATCTTTTGGACAGACCAACAGAACAAGAAAATATTCCACTCCCTTTCTGTTGTTTGATCTTGGTTCAAAATTAGAGATTAACATATTTTGAATGAATCCGCTCCTTCAGAGATAAGAGGAGTACTGCAGAAAGTAGAAGTAGCAGTCTACAAAACCAGGATTTCCTTGGAACCATTTTATTATTGACAAACTGTTTGGTACAATACATTCAATAAAATGTTTAAATTATATGTTGTGTTCAACATTCATCTCCTCTTACCTCAAATTCAATCTGTTTTTGTCCTGTTGGTTCCTAACAATTTGCACCTTGACAAGTTGTGAAATCATTACATTTCTTCATAGAACAAATTACTATTGTAGCTCAGCATGAATGCCGTAACCAGCAATTTAAATCTCATTAGCAAAATGCAGCATACTGAGTAAAGGAGCACAGAGACTCCGTAACCTATGGCTCAGAAAGGTAATGCTTAGATGAACATAAAAAACATCTAGTTGAATTAGCCGATTGACTGATGCTCATTGAGGAAGTGTTGTGTTTTACTGCAATGCTCAAGCACCACAAACTCCAAGAATGTGCTGACAAAATAATTTAATGGAAGAATAAATAATAATTCTCCTAAACAAAAATCTTCAGCTGTGATTTAATCTTTTCATGAATGATAACCTTTACATTTAGAAGAAAATAGGGATTTTCCAACAAAAAATATTTTAATAGTATTTTTCCACTTTTTCGTTACAACCATTTCACATTTGCATGGTACATAAAGTAGTTGCATTTACATAAAAAGTACCTTCTGCTATATTTATGTGCAAATTAATGCATGGTGTGTTATGTGGAAAAGAATGACGGTATGATGTTCTAGATGTTCCAATTATTACATTTGAATGATAAAATACATGACCATACAAAATAAATGTTCATGCAACACATGCATGTGTTCAAATGGATAACTAATCTTAAATATTTAATTGTATTCACATAAAGGAGGGTATATAAAAGCAAGCTCTCAATAGGCAACCAAGGACCCAGCATTTATTGCACTTGTCATATTCATAACTCATTAAAGTGTGATGCTTATTGCTTATTAGGTCATTTCTGATCATTTTCTGAGCACTTTGGGAGGTCCTCCTAACATGAAAGGAGCTATGTACATGTGAATGTATTGTTGTTGCTGCTCATGGAATATATAGTTACTACAGTTCTGGGTAAAATGTTACCGTAGAACTATAAAAGTTCCATAATAGCAGCCAGTTTACTGTTGACAAATACCTAGTGTTGTTTGCAATGGCTTGTTGACGAAAGAAAACATGGCCTCATTTTTATTGTTAGAGCTACAGAAACGTTTCACAATTTTCCTTTTATTAACTGCACTGTGATAGAGTATGATTGCTGAGCCAGAAGCTTTCTTGGGACAGAAGGTGTTTCTTCCATTATTCATGATCTTCAAACCTTCCATTTTGTGCTATGTCTACTTTTATAGGTCAGTGAAATCCAGAACTCATAATCATGCTCTGAAATCACCCATTCCATTTTCTGTACATAAGGAATAGCTGGGATCCAATAAGCCAGGCTGCAGATAGGGGTATTTAGAGAATACAGTCTGACTTAATTAAATTGCTCTCAACATCATTACAGGTTAGCCATGTATTACAGAAGAAATTGAATTTTTGTGAAGCAAAAGGATTGTGGATTTATGGATTGCAGGCAGGTTTTAAGGTTTTAACTCATAATTCCCCATTTTTGCACATACTACAAATGCAAAATAGAATTTATAGTGTGGTGTACAAAACGTCAGAAAATGTGAGTTAAAGCTCCTTACGATCTTATTGCAATAATATTTGCAGAATCCCTGAATATGAATTTCTGTACATTATTGTCATCAACAATATATAGTCTACAGCTTATTCTCTCCTGTATTGTACAGGAGAGATCTGGGAGGTGAACGTACAGAGAGATCTGGGTGTTCAAGTAAGCGAATCATTAAAGGTAGCGGGGCAGGTAGATAAGGCAGTAAAAAAGGCATTTGGTGTACTGAGCTTTATTAGCAGGGGCATAAAGTATAAGAGTAGGGAGATTATGCAAAACACTGGGTAGGCCTCAGCTGGAGTACTGCGTCCAGTTCTGGGCACCTTACTTCAGGAAGGACGTTAAGGCAGGATTCAAAGACAATATGTGTAGGGAATGAAAGCCAAGGTGATTTGGAGGAATCAGTGTTAAAATGTTAAACTCCATGCGTAACCAGGTGCCCCAGTCAAGATCAGAAAATTGCTTTGCTAAATAGTGGGGATTATAAACCTAAGGCCTACCTCCAAGTTGTGACATATTATTTCTGAAATAACAGGACTGTAAACAGATTTTACACTAAAACAATGTAACTGTATTTGGAGCACTATGTGCACTTTCCATCAAATGTTGCTCAGATTGATGAAGACTATTTTTGTAGAATGCTGCTGGATCGCACAAGAACTCAGCCTCTCTGGTAAATCGTACCTTTCAATCAGAAATTACATGACGTTTATTTTTTTTGTTCAATCTCAGTGTTACTCAGAGTCAATTTATGAAATATGTAGAAATATTTAGGACTATTGATGAAAGTCAGAAAAGATTAAATGTTTTCTTTGGAGCTTCTACGATGATTAAGCTCCTGCTGGCTCCTTGGCACCCAAAGAGTTAATTGGTTTTATTGATTGTTTTTACTCTGATGAAAATGCTTTGCTTGCAGAAGAGCTGCTGAGAACTCATGTTGCCCACTGGTGGTCCCCAAATGGAGAGCGATTGGCATTCTTGACTATCAATGATTCTTTAGTACCCAACATGCTGCTCCCCCAGTTCACCGGCAATCTGTACCCAAAAGGAAAGCTGTACCCATATCCCAAGGTAAGAAATGGAAACCCTGAAAAAAAACAAATCTTTCAAAATACATTGCCAGAATTTCACAAGTTACTTATTGTATGCTGTTTACCATAGGAATGCATCATTCTGAAGCATTGAACCTGAATACAAAGAATAATAAATTCTGTTATTTGGAACTTTTGCGAGAATGAGGTTAAAAAAAGAATGGTTGTATATTGACATTTCTGAAATTACCCTGCAACAGAAACTAACAAAGCAAAACTATGCATTTAAAATGTACCTTACCCTTTGAGTCTGTTAACATTGATTTAAGCTGCCTAGGTCTAGCTAATGCAGCAGCTTACCTAACCAACCATATTTCTATGTGCTTGACAAGAAGCTGAAGTGAGACAGGTCAAAGGCCTTCAGGAATTCTCCCAGAAAACTCTACTCCTAGAGAAAATAAATATTCCCATCCAGTACTCATAGAATTATAATTCATTGGGAATGCATAAAGGGGCTAAATGTGGAGTCCTTTAGCTCAGTGGTTAGAGCGCTCACTTTGCAAGCGAGAGACCTGGGTTCATTTCCCTGGCAGGGTGAAACCTTGGGCAAGTTTCCTTACTCGACATGCCTGATAATAATCCCTCAAAAAAACAATAATAAATTGGTCATTTCAATCCACGATTGTTTGTGGGACACTGCTGTGCGCAATTGGCTGTTGCATTTCACCCACAAATATACAGTCAATTCACTTTACAGTCTATTCTGTGAAGCGCTTTGAGACATCTAGAAGACATGAAAAGCACTATATCAAATGCAAGGATTATTATTATAATTGTAATTTCCATGGACTGCCTGTTGTAGTACTCTATTCTCATATATTACTGGAATAAATGTCGTGCTCAATATCATATGGGTCAGTATATGAAAAGTGACAGCCTGCTTATTTTTGGTAGAGATAGGAAACTGGCCTGTGACAGATGATCAATTTTCACTTACCTGTACATTTCAAGTCCCCTGTATTCCCTGCTTAAGCCTGTCTTAACGTATCTAACCATATTAAAGAATAAAAGGCAGTGTTGTGGAATGCCAACAAAATCAGTGCAGTTAAGAATTAGGCACATTTAAACAAATCTGGTAGATGGACAACATTTGAAATGCATTACTTTTTTAAATAAAAAATCATTAAATCTCTCATGAGTATCTATTGGAGAATCTGAAGACTCCAGTGGCGCAATTTTACAGAAGATGGGCAGGAGTAGATGCCCAATGCGTCCCTGAGGGAATGGTAGTTGGACGCTGCTTTGTCACAAACCCTGGCTCCAAATTCCCAATAAAGATGGGATAGATGTTGCCAGGAGACAAATAATAGGATAAAGAGATGGGATGATATGCTAAAGCATAAGCCAATAGAAAGCCTAAAATGTAATGAGTGGTGGGCCAACTGGTCTTGTCAGAGAATCTTACAAGATATAAATTGTAAGAATGGGCCCATATAAAACCTGAGCAAAAGACAAAGTGAGAAGTCCTAGGGTCTGAAGTCCAGAGAGTGTCGAGAGCATGTGATTGGCTGACTGTGACTCCAGTCAGCTGTAACCTGATTCTTCCTGGGTCATTTGCTCAGGTTCAGAACAATAGAATTCTAACCTATAATCCTGACAATCACGTAAGCCCAAATCGGTAGTGCTTAAAAGATTGATCAATCATTTTGGAGCATTAATACTGTCCCTTTATCTTCAGGGGTTAAAATGTAATTAGGTAAGATATCACTGAAATTCAGTTGTGAAGATGTGCGATGTTCTGTACCAGAAAGCTGTAGAGCCGGAATCAGTGGAGTTGTTTACAAGAGAGAGAGATAGATACTTGGGTAGTTGAGGTATTAAATGATAGGTGGGGAGGCAAGGCATTGGGATCTAATAAATTGGTGAGAGAGGCTCTATGGGCTGAATAGCAAGTTCCTATTCCTGTTGTTGCTGTGTTTAACTGATATTACTATTGTTTGTAGCTGAGCATATTTTTACCTTGTTGTATATCAGGCAGGCCAAGTCAACCCAACAGTCAAGCTGTATGTAGTGAATCTTTATGGACCAACACATACCCTGGAACTCATGCCACCAGAGAACTTCAAATCCAAGTAAGACAAGACAAGGCTCATTGTCGCTCTCTTTTGGATGTAAGAGTGCAAAAATGAAATAGAATGATTTCTTGTGAGATGGCTATTGATAATGCGGTTACACATTCTAAAACTTAAACAAAATATTGATACATTTTACAAGCCAATTAAGGAAGAAGATTATTGTAAAATATGCATTTAAATGGTTCTTTTATAGTGACTGACCATATATTTATATTTTGTTGGTTTAATAGGGTAACTGATTGATAATACTTGATAACAGGGATGTTATGTTTTTCCTTTGTAGTTTCACCTGTTATAATTTTTATGCAGTTTACGTAAGGAAGTAATTTTACTGATTCTATAATATTTTTTTCTTTTTTTAACGAGGGAATATTATATCACAATGGTAAAGTGGGTCAGCAACACAAAGACTGTGGTAAACTGGCTGAACAGACCTCAGAATATTTCCATTCTTACCACATGTGAAATTACAACTGGTGCATGTTCTAAGGTAGGATTTGTGCAGTTTAATTTTGATAAATCCATAAATAAGATGCCAGAGACATTCGAATCAGCAACAAATTTGGGAATATTAGGAGATATTCAAATAATCCCAAACCTAGTAAATGATTTCAACTACATTTTGTCCCAAAAAATGCCCTAATGTTCTGGATGCACATTATACATGGCTGCAGAGAAATAATTCAATCCAGTTGGTTTCACATATACTGAAAGCATGTTAAACCTTTACAGAGGCAATATGTGCAATCTTTCAGGCCTAAGGTATTATGAATGAGCTATTTTATTTGAGTTGGAATTCTATCTCAAGGTTAAGATTGACTTTGTCAGTAGAGGCTTCTATTAAAAAATGTTTTAAATATATTGACAACAGCATTAAGTTATCAACTGAAGGTCAGAAAGTGGAAGTGCTGTGAATCCACTTTGTACAGCTCCCTAGCAGAAAAAAATTCTTATCCATAAATCCCTGTTCTTGTTCCATAGTTATGCAACATATGCACAAGCTTAATGCTTTTTTCTGTTTCAAATTTTCCAGATAATGCACTGAATTAATAATAATCCTTGCATTTAATACAGCGTTTTTCACATCTTCTAGACATCTCAAAGCGTTTCTAAGAATATACTGTAAAGTGAATTGACTGTATTTGTGGGTGAAACGCGGCAGCCAATTGTGCACAGAGGTGTCCCACAAACAGTCGTGCATTGAGCGACCAAATTATTATTGTTTTTTGTGGGGGGGGGTTAGGGATTGCTATCCCCGGAAGAGTGATCCATCAATCGACTAACAACTGGGTTCCTACTTGCTGCTAGGTAAACAGAGGCGTGTGGAATAAGAAAACTTGCCCAACATATCACCCTGCCGGGAATAGAACCCAGATCTCTCGCTTGGGAGGTGAGTGCTCTAACCATTGAGCTTACAGGACTCCAAATTGATAACAGTTCAGTTGTGATGAATTTCCACTGAAAACCAATTTAAAACACAATTTACATTCTAATATCATAAAATGTTGATATATTTTATATACTGCACAACAAGGCTTATTTTAAGCAGTGTAAATTTATCCCCTTTGAGATCTAATTTACAGGTTAACCATTTGCAAAATGTGTGGATTTGGCCAACCACGGAAACTTTTACTGGATCAGGCTATCCATGTGTAAACAAATTCAGTAACTCTTACACTCTTACATTGATTATTCATTGTATAACTAATGCCACCATTTGCTCGTGGTTAACCCAATCTGCACATTTTGCACATGGGCTTTTTAATCCATAAATTAGATCCCACGCTCTGATCTGAAGTAAACTGACTTAGATAAATGTTTAACTATGGAGTCCTGCAGCTCAGTGGTTAGAGCACTCGCCTCGCAAGTGAGAGGAGCTGGGTTTGATTTCCGGGAAGGGTGAAACGTTGGGTTTCCTTACTCCACATGCCTCTGTTTACCTAGCGGTAAGTAGGAACCTGGTTGTTAGCTGATTGATGGATCGCTTTTCTGGGGGTAATAAACCCTTCAACAAAAAATAATAATAATTTGGTCCCTCAATCCACGATAGTTTGTGGGACACTGCTGCGCGCAAGTGGCTGCCGCGTTTCGACCACAGTATATTCTGTGAAGCGTTTTGAGACGTCTCAAAGACGTGATAAAATGTTATATCAAATGCGAAGATTATTATAACTTGAAAATATCATAAGAGTTAGAAATCCTAATAATGCGGCTTTCAAAAATGCTCAAAATGGTCCCCAAACGTTAAGGATCTATTTTTTAAATCATTTGAAAGTCTGTCTCACTCCCAGTTAGATTTAATAATATTAAAAACTGACCAGCCTCCAGTGCTGATTGACAAAGATTCCCTCAGCTCCAGGACAATGGCAAATATAAATCCTGTTTCTTTCTCAAAATCATCTTACTGCTTAAAGTTAAAACGTTTCTAGTAATATAAATAGGGTACAAAATTGTTCAAAAATTCAGAATGCATTGATATTCTGCATATGTATTTTATAATAACTGGGGGCAGGGAGTCATCCTACTCAGCTCCTGTTAACTCTGCAAGCCAAAGCCCTAAAGGGCAGAATGATCCTAGCTGGATAAGCAATGGGAAATATTGCCAGACAACAATATCAATGGCAATCTATGCGGTTTTAGCTGGTTAGACTCCATACATATACAGCAGTTACCCCAACGCACACTCTGGGATCCCCAAGCCTTGGCTCTTGCCAACCTGCGCCTAATACTCTCCAGAAGCATCCCTCCAGGTAGAGAGTGCGCATTCCATTCCAACAATCTATCTCTAGGATCTCCATATGTAGGTGGGATGCATGGAAATCTCAGCTTGGTTTGGATACTCTTAATCATGGTGATGCGTTTCCGTATGTGTCAGAAACCTGGCGGACAAAAAAATATATATTAACCAATGTAAAAATACAAATAGCATCCATATAAAAAAATCCCTTGTTCCATTTATGCCAGAGATGTCACTGTAACGCTGATGAATTTGAATAGAAATTTGCACTTCTGTTGGGATTATGTTCAGATCAAACTTACATTTATCTGAAGTCAACTGTGCCAAAAAAAACTTTTATTATCATATCTTTCTGAGAAAGGAGCTTCCAGTTAATTTTCCTGATCAGAATTGATACTTGGTGTGTATATATATATTATTTATATATATATATAATATATGTGACTGTCAATTCCTTCTGTCAAGTCTTTGTAAATCATAGTCGTATGAACTGTTAGTGTCATTGGAAATGAATTAACAATTAGGCTAGTGGCAGACCAGAGTGAAGCCTGTGTGACACAGTTGAGCTGTCGCCTAGAACAAAGAATAAAAATTAGTCTTTTCTTGCAGTTTCATATCCTTCAGTGATAACTATGTAATTCTGAACATCCGAAATTAAATGATTCTGTAGAAATATATAAATTGACAGCATTGTTCAGACTTTTCAAGACCCAGTGGCTGTTATAGAATGAAATAATTTTTCAATTCATTATAGGATCATCTCATGCTTGCAAGGCTATATACTTCTCACTTTTTGTGTGTTGCTATTTTAGAAACATGAAGCAGTGTCTCATCTCTGGCTTTCTAAGCAGGTAAGAAAAAGCTGTAAGAAAACAGTTGGACTGATCACAAAATCTTAAACAGTTATACAGTAGAGAGCCGATTATCCACACTGATTGGGATCAATCCCTCCCTGCAGATAAGCGTGGAGTGAAGATAATTAAACATCATGCAAAATACAAATTGGCTAGAATATTAATCGGAAATTCTACTGAGTTATACTGTCATTGCAGTACCGTATTACAAGCCCTTCACTCTCTTAGCTAATCTGCTAATCTACTCTTTTCTCTCTCTGCCTCCTTCTTTCTCTAACTCTTTCTGACCCTAATCCTATAAAAGTGCTGCACCACACCTTTGTCATACTGATTTCCACTCTCAGGGGGAAATTCTATTGTGTACATGTGTAAGTCAATTGTATACATGTGCACTTGCACATACTTACTTGAAGCTGCACAGAGCTATTAGATGATATACTTAGCAAATATATGTGCAACTTTACACCTGTCCTCAATAGGATATTTTTCTGCCAGCATCACAGCTCCATGTCTACTTCTGCATCATCAGGGCTGCATGCGGATAAATGGAAATATGGATAATTGTCATGCTGGTAACCAAATCTTTACTGTAATGTTGATTTATTCATTAGATTGTCTTAAAAAAGTGTGATTATAATGTACAACAAAAAAGATCTGGCCAGCAATCCTACAGATAAATTTGTAATTTTTTCATGGCTGTTTGTGGGGCCTTGCTTTGCTATCTGCAAATTGGTCACTGCATTTGCCTACAAAAACATTCACCACATTTGACAATCATTAGTGCAAAATGTTTTGAGACACTTTGAGTTTTTAACTCACATGTTTATAGTAAGGATAATGTGCAGGCAGGAACACATCAGGAAGTTGAATTGATTCACAACCCAGAAAGTGAAGACTGAACAAATTAATTATGTAGTCTGAGACCTGATCTATGTTATTGCTTTGCAACACTCGTCGAGTGTGGTGTTCTTTATGACATATGTAAAATGAATAATTTTACACCTTTTTGCTAGTTATAATTTTGATTTTTCTATTCTCAGTCAGTGGAGATGTTCCACAGATGGCAGGCAGTCTTTTACAATCAGAGCATCTGGTTTGCCACCTACACTATCATATCACATGATGCAGAAAGAGGAATTTAGCTAAATGATGGGGAATATCGTATATTGAGGTCAATAGAACAAGAAATCCAGATAGAAATCCAGCCAATCTCTGACTCCACTTCAGAAGCAGATCTTATTGGAACAGAGTCCCCACTGGTTGCTGAGACAGATTCCCAGTTACCAAAATGAGTCCCAATTAGCGGGATTCTGATTCCTTATTAATCCTGCATAGATGCCAATAGTACATACATTTTACATTAATTATACCAAACTGTTCTCAGGATCTGTATCATATAACCAAAAGGCAAAGTACTGCAGATGCTGGAAATCTGAAACAACAACTTGTATTGATATAACGCCGTCCACACAGGGTAGTGTCTCAGAGGGCTTAATCTGAAATCTCAAATAAAAATCATGACACTACAATGACTCTATAATTCAGTGTTCCCAGCAAACTTCTGTTTTTATCTCTGTATCATATACCCTGGGGCTGACAATGGTAGAGTGGCAATAATGTTCTTGTAATTATTCATCTCTGATATAATCTACCCAGTTGTTCTTAGTTACAGTTTTCTCCACCTGTGGGTATATGAGTTAATTTTTTTCTGCATTTGTCAGGTGGGATATACAAAAGATATTTCATGCTATTTCACGTTTACAATGACGGGATAAACAAGCATTTCTTTAAAGAGCTTACACAATGATATTCACACTGCCTAGACCGGCAGCCAAGTGAATAACTAATAGGATTAGCATCTGCAGTGCTGACAACTGGACTGTGGAGCCCTGTTCACATAAACCAAAAAAAGGCCTTTGTTAATGTACGCCGAACAGAACTGACTTCAGTTGACACTTAAATGGATTAGACTGTGTAAAATGTCTGTACGACCATGTAGTCAGCTCATACTGACATGATGCTGACAATTTCTTTAGAAATAAGATCCATTTCCTGTGAATAAAAGAAATATTGCAAAACTTGATCAATACACAGGAGGTGTATCATTAAGTTACTTATGCTCCCTACTTGGTATTAATATATTTGCACATATGACTTGGTCCCTTATTCACCCTGCAGATCCACACTAAATGGAGTTATACACTATTCCTCATACGTTTAATGTAAATATTTGACAAGGGTATTGGTAAACATGCTGAAACAGGTTTGTAGTAAGTATATTCCTGATATCATTAGAATATCAGTGAATAACAATTTATATATTTGTGTCTTTTTAAAATGTATATGCTTTTAATGGGAAGTTAAACCTATAAACTCTGTAGACATGAATTGTGATGCTGTTAAAGTGTACTCAGAAGGTCAAACAGCAGGAAAATACGTTATAAATAGGATCAGCTGTTTTCATGTAGTTTGTTGAAAAATGTAACACTTGCCATGACATTAACCTTGTCCTGTCTGTTGGACTTAAAGGATAATAAATAATGGCCGCATTGTAGCACAGTGCTCATTTTAGAAATATAAATCACTTTTGAGGTCTTGGGCCTCATTGAATGATTTAATTCCTTGTATTTTTCAATAATATTATTGCCTCATTTCTTGTATTTTCAGGATGAGAAGCCAATATTCTCAAAGGATGGCAGTAAATTCTTTATGACTGTACCCGTAAAACAAGGTGGTCGTGGAGAATTTCATCACATTGCCATGTTCACTCTTCAGGTGAGACACTACAGGCTGGACCTCATACTTACAACATGATGAGTTTGCTGTGAACACAACACAAAATATAGATGACAGGTTTCCAGATGGTATTTTTTTCTCTGGTCACATCAGCTTCTTCCTGATTAATTAATTGCAAGAGATGTAATATTTTCAGAATACCAATTAGTTCACATTTATTCTTGTTATATGTGTTTTGCATAGAATTACATAGCAGCACAGAAACAGGCCATTTGGCCCAACTAGTCCGTGCCTCATAAGCCTCCCTTCTCCCTAGTTTTGATTGGTATTAGATGAAAGGATGATAACATAAAATAACAATTGCTGGTTATCACTGTCCCAGAGCGATTCATAATGGTCGAGCCAGAGGGAGAGGGAAGGTGACTCTAAGCATGATACAACAGGAAGGTCTTTAGGCGGGATTTGAAGGTAGGGAGGGAGTGAACAAGGTGGAGGGATTGAGGGAGAGAGTTCCAGAGTTTCGGGATGTAGTGACTGAAGGCATGGCTACCATTGGTGGAACGGATGGCACGAGGGACAAACATGGCTTCCGTCTTGTCGACATTCAGCTGTAGGAATTTTGCACTCATCCAGGGATTGATGTCCTTCAAACAAGCTGACAGGACATCAATGTTGGGAGTTGCAGCTGGAGGAAAAGCAGATTTGGGTGTCATCCTCATAGATGCCCAATCCTGATTACTAACTCTGTTAAAGGGTTACTTCAGGAAAACCAAATAGGCTTTCTAAAACTGCACTGTTTGCATTGTGACATTTTTTGTAAATAGTAGTTATGTAAATCGCATTGAAAAATGTTGATACATGTGTTGAGAAGTTGCAAAGACGTGATCATAGAATTACAGAATTATACAGCACAGAAGGAGTCCATTCGGCCCATCGTGTCTGTGCCGACTCTTTGAAAAGAGCTAACCAATTCAATTCCACACCCCTGCTCTCTCCCCATAGCCCTGCAAACATGTCCTCCCCAAATAGTTATCTATAAGACGCTATATCAAAAAAGTAAGGATTATTATTTTTGTACCTAAGGGCTAAAGGATTTTATGCTTAAGTTCACAGGCCATTCATGAATCTGGGATTTGTAAACCAGTTTGTCTAAGATTGATGGTGCAGAAAAAACTCAAGTCCATTTTACAGGGAATTATCAGTATTCGTTTAAAGAGCACAGAGGCGATAAGCTCTAGTTAGTATAGCTGAAAAAGCAATAGATCATGATGCACAAATCAAATGAAATCCATTAAGGATGGAACTAAATTTGCGGACAAGGGCTATCCAGTGGTTATAATCTACTTAGAACTTTCCAAAGGGATTTAATCAAAATGTTGCAAGTGAAGTGTTTAAAGAAGATTATAATTCTTACAGTTAATGGCAAATTAGCTAGCTAGATTGGAAATCGGTTTGACAGAAGATAATGATCAATGGAAAAAGCACTGTCTGCGGAAAGTGGCTTCAAGAGTATAAGAAGCATATGTTGCAGGTCCTCTGCTCTTTATCCTATTCACTCACACTATTCATAAGCATGCAGAGTGCAGTCGTTCCAGCAATGTTATAACATTGGCTAATAACACCAAGCTGCATGGCTGGCTGATCAATTTAAAAAGAGATTTATTTATTTCAAACTGACTTGTTTAAATTACATTAAATGAAGTTCAATATTCATTAAGAAGTAACAGATGGATTTTAATTTGGAACACTGTTCATGTTGGAATAGGCCCTCAAAATATACACAATTAAGCATCCATTAGCAAAGGTAACAACAGAACAGGTTTTGGGTATGATTATCGTTCATTGAAAATATTTAGTCAATATAAAGCTGTTATCAATTGAGCTAATGGGATGCATCTTGAGACTATTTGATTTTCAGTCCGAACATGTTATTTTAGCCCTGTCCAACTTATTCAAAAAATTTAAAGCATTAATTTAAGGAATATCACTCTAAATGTGATATTATCAATGTTACATTGGCTTTGAAAAATTCCCATTAACTACTGTTTTACCTATTCTGGGCATGCCTTAAATACATCATCCAAAGTGCAGAGGATAGGCCAGGTTTATGCTTTGTTAAGGAAACGTTAGCATTTGTAGAAAACTGACTTGTTTTTAGGGTAAACAGCAATTTAAAATAAAAGCTTTTTTCACATTACGGGGACATATTTACCTCTACTTTAAGATAGTAAATTGTTCTTGAAAATCATCTTATACATTTAAAAAGTGGGATGCCTACTGAAGAGTTCTACATTTTGAGCTTCAACCAGTAAATGCTTCTTGTTGATGTAAGATAACCATTGTTATCTTACATCAACAATACCCCCTCCTTAATTGAGGGGGTATTGAGTGTAAAGTCACTGCAAACCTGAGATCTGCACCATTGTGAGTCAGTGACTCAACAACTTTAACCATAAATACTGTGTGCTTTTGAATTATTGCAGACAAAATTGAAAAATATCTTGCCTAGAACAAATCAGTTTTAAACTCTCCAAAAATTACTTTAAATTACATATGAAAACACAGAGGACAGTGCTTATGGAGCTGACTTTGTAGATGCTCTTTCTACTGAGGATGATCGTCTTGATTTTGGGACTGCTCCATTGTAGCTGAGTGCCCCTGTCTGAATGTTAGGGATCAGAAAATTAATAATACACAAAGAAGAAGCAATTTGCCAGCTGGATGGTGTGTTTAATAAAAGAAAGCGACACGGAATGAAATGTGGCTCTTGAGAATTGTGATGCTGCAGAGAAGTAAAAAGTATTCAATTTCTAAATAGTTTCTTTTCTAGTGGAATGATGCAGAAACATCAGAATAGGATGATCGTCAGTATTTACACACTTTATCATATTTTTCATATTTCTGCATTGCTTTGTTATCATAAAAAGCTGTCAGATTTCTGGAGTGTAACAAGATTATTACCAACTAAACTCTTTGTAGTCTCCAGCCATTAGATGAGCCCCAGTCACATTAAGCAAGATCTTCCTTTAAAGTTATGAGGCGTTTACTCAAGAGTTCAGATAACAATGGTCCTGTTTATTGCTTATAAAATAAATCTGCAATTTCATGGAAGAACTCCTTACCTGGTCATTTAACAAATACTTTGATATTAGTATAATAATAATCCTTGCATTTGATAGAGCGCCTTATCACGTCACCTGGTTGTTAGTCGATTGGCAGATCGCTTTTCCGGGGGTAATAATTCCTTCAAAAAAAAATTATAAATTGGTCACTTCAAACCACGACTGTTTGTGGGACACTGCTGTGCGCAATTGGCTGCCGCATTTCACCCACAAAATATACAGTCAATTCACTTTACAGTATATTCTGTGAAGCGCTTTGAGACGTCTTGAAGACCTGAAATGGCACAATATCAAATGCAAGGATTGTTATTATTATAAAGGTGCACATTAAATAAAAAGAGAGGAAAAGTAATTTATTATGAATTTGCAAAACGAAAAATGTTCTTTCAAGAGGAGCAAACATGGTAAATTTAAATGACTTTTTTGCATTCATTTCATTCAGCAAATTTGTTTCCTTATCAATTGTTCATATGGGTGAATTAAACTGTAGTTAATATATCACCATATTCGAGTCAGCAGCACAAGGCTGATGCAATTCATTTCCCATTTCAGTGCTGCTGTGAATCACCACATATTCATTTGTCTTTGTGAATATGTGAAGAACAGAATTCCTGACAAAAGGAGAATAATACCTTGGCAAACCACCACAAGGCTCAGAATCTCAGAGACACAACAAATATAGAAAGAAAAAAATATCAGAGACCACTGAATTCCAACTCTTTTTTTTTAGAGGTTGTGGGTTCAAGACCCATGTATGGAGTTTAGCCTTCCACTCTAATGCAATGGTGGGGGATTGTTGGAGGTGCTATCCTCCGAATATAATGTTAAACTGAGGTCCTGCCTGCCTGTTCAGATGGACATTAAAGATTCCATGGTACAATTCGAAAAGTGAAGGGAGTTTCACCTGGTACCCTGGCCTCCACTACCTCAAGATACAACATTGGTCATTCGCTTCATGGCTATTTGTGGGACATTGCTGTGTGCAAAATGGCTGTTGCATTGACCTACAAATGCAGTCACTCTAGATTAGAGAAAACTCTGAAGCACTTTTTGACATAAGACACTATATCAAATGCAAGTATTACTATATTATAATATTATTATAATTATTAAGTCACCATTGTTTTGGACATCAGTTTTAATTAGAATTTGTAAAATCCTTAGCATTTTATTTTAAACTGCAGTATTGACCTTTTCTGGATTAATTATTACATTACTATGATTGTTATGGACTCGAATACTGTTACACAACATTGAAACAGTGAATATACTTGCGCTCATACTATATGTTTCCTGTGCACTCATCTCAGAATTGATCACTCCTGAAATTAGTATTCAGTATTATTCCATGGTCGTGTGTAAAAGATTTATTGCTGTATCTGTGCACAGTTTATCATCCACCATCTTGCACATATGGACAATTTTTTATGTCAAAATAGTCTATTGTTCCTGGGAGTCGCTGGGTATAATTTATTGTACTCGAATAATGACTATTTCCAAATGACTACAACCAGTTTTTAAAAAAAATAGCTGGGATCACTAAACACTGAGTTCAGCAATTGTGGGGGGGGTTTCTGATACATATTCATGTCTCAATCATACTCACAGTTTGTATTGAATTCACTGTAGTTTCTGTGTCTAAATGAATGTGGCATGAAGTACAAGGTGACCAAAATTATTTTTCACCTACCCTATTATCTAAAAAAATCATAATTTCTTTAAGACTTATTAGACATTGTAATGGTATCACGACTTTTTGGTCACCCTGTACAACTGCAGCTAAACTGGCATTGATTTAGTTTGGAAGCTTCCTCCAGAAAGTGATTTTATAATCGAATCACGAAACAAAAGCTGCTGTACAACACTGAGTTTAAAAAATTCCTGAGCAGTCCATTGAGCCTTTCAGATGCTTATTAATTTTAGTGAACAAGTTACGGACTTGAGGCCTGAAATTTCTAATGGTCTAAGCCGTAAGACAATGTATTTGGTTTTGTACGCGTAGGTTTGCAAAAGTGTACATGCACAGTGCAGAATTAATTTTATTTGAGGTCCTGAGATGCTACAAGAAATGCACTAGGTGCAAAATGAAAAAAAATGCTATTCCCTATAAATTCACCTCAATTATTTCAAGCACAAAAGAAAAAAAAAGATTTCGGAAAAAATGAAACATGCCTGCTGTCAAAAGCTCTATTAGTTGGCAAAAAATTGTGAAGAGGTCTTGCAGTTTGGCTGCTGAATGTAGTTTATGTTAAACTGCATGTTAATTTCCTTTCAACACTGCAATGTCAAGAATGTCAGCAATCAGTCTGCTGATGTAAATGCATCTGAAGATGCTTTGCTCTTCCAAGCACGGGTTTTCCATTAATAATATCTCCGACTGAAATCTACAGCCTAAAACTGAACTGAGCAGCGTACGACACCTGACATCAGGAAACTGGGAAGTCACCTGTATCCTGGGGTATGATGAAGTCCATCAGAAGATGTGAGTACAATGTTTATTAGCATAAGGACAATACTGTCAAAGATTAGCCTCTTCAAAAGATGTCTCCTGTTATACATAATAAAAACATTTTTTTTACATAGCACCTTATCATATTGATGTATCTCAAAGCACTCAAGTATTACTCTGAAGTGTAGTAACTGTTTTTCTGGACAAAGAGAATAAAATTCCAAATTATTCAATTCATTTAAAAATAACTAAATAGTTGTGTATTTTTAAAAGAGTATTCCCATGTTTCATTTTCACAAAATTAAGCTCAATATTATGCCAACAATGTTTCATAATCTCTAATTACAAAATTTGGAATTAGTTTAGACCACACATATGGGTGTACAAGCTATGAGAGAAATATGTTATTCTGCACTGGAATAAATGTCCTATTTAACAGCCCTTCTGTTTAATCTCATTCCTTTTTATGGCATCCATAGTTCTATACATAACAAAAATAACAGGAAGTTTTAAAGTACCCTTCATCATTATATTCCAAATTCCTCTTACAATAATATTTAAAATGACAATCAAAGCCTGCTGTGTCTGAAAAGTTTAGTGTATTGCACCATTACATGCCTCACAAAAGTTTACAATCTACATTTAATTTATCAGACATAGAATTTTAATTGTCAGGTTCAATATAATAAATGAAATATATTAAGGCTTTTGCTGGTCTATCATTATTTCTTTAAGTGTAAGTAAACCAATTTTAGTTTTTCCACTATATTACCCCCTCTCTTTTCATGTGTGTGTGTAAATATAAATTTCAGTATAAATGATGACGGTGTATAATGAAAAACACTTATATGTAAATCACTAAATGCAAATCTTCTTCTGCTCAGTCTTAATTTACTTCTATTCACTTATTGCTGCTTCATCTATTAATTCAGCTCAGTAGGTGAAAATGCATGCAATTGCAGCTAGGAAATTTCCAATTAATTGTTAATTCAAGTCTGAAATCTATTCAAATATACAAGTGAAACTCGAACTATAATTATTCCAGCATGATAATCCCTTGCTGTGTATTTAGACTCAAGTGCGAATCTTCAAAATAAATAAACAAATCCAGAAATAACAAAAGCGAGATCTAAAATAATCCATTTTCCCAACCCAAACTCTTTAAAAGCTACTTTGCTGGGAGTTGAGGGTTTATTATTGTATTTTGGGCTCTATTTTTTCTTGTGAGACTACTGTCCACCCTCCTTCCGGGTATGTTATGTTGTATTAGCTAGGCAGTAAGATACCATAGGCGTGATTGACTCTTTATATATAGTTCAAGAGCTACATTTTTTTTATTGTTCTGTCTGATGCAGAAGGTTTGAAGATGGATTTTAATACAAAAAAGCGAAGAAAATAATTTAGGCAGACTTAGTTGTACCATCCTGTACAATTTTGCAAAATCTGTCGATGAATTATGCCTTATTTACACTACAAAGATATATCTCAGAATAGGGGGTTGGGGTAGAAAAGCATTTATAATTTCTACATTTTTAGTTCAATCACATGTAAATTATAATTTATGTAAAATATATAGCTGCATGCACACATACATAGCAAGTGTTAATAAGAACATAAGAAATGTTAAACAAAAAAAGACCGAGGTCCATCTAGTTCGTCTTCCATGTTCCTGGCGATCACATGCACATATGTCAGAAGCTACCTGTATACTATATCCCATAATGTTATTTCCTAAAACAAAACTATCTAATTGGTGTTTGAAAAAATCAACACTTCCTGCTTCAACCATCTCCCTTGGGAGCCTGTTCTACAGGTTCATTATTCGTTCACTGAAATAGTGTTTGCATAAATTTGTTCTGAATTTCACCCCCTTCAATTGCAGGCCGAGTCCTCTGGTTTTACTATTCTGGACAAGTTGAAACAGCCTGAAACAAATCTATATTGTCCCTCCACCTCAACTTGTTGAATATTGACAACACACATCCAGGTATAAGAGAAACCTTGGACAGTGGTGTTTTAACAATCAACAATTCATTTGCTAGAGATCCAGTTAATCTCACACTGGAGTAAAATGTAAGTTCTGATGCAGCATCTTGACTAACTGGAATTGCTGCATTTCGTCAGTATGGTTTCAGCAAGCGCTGGATAATTACACGATCAATGCGCAGCACAGTAGTTGGGCATCTTTTGTCAAAAGCAGATATGGACAATAAGAGAGGAAGCTGGCCGAGAAAGAAAGGACTATTGAATATTGCGAGATAACTTGGACTTGAAAAAATGTATTAGAGGTATACAGACTACAATGGATCCCTTTGAGAGAGAGACTGAGAAAGAGAGCCAGAGAGACTCTGAGAGAAAATATATTAAAAGATTCCTCCCAGCTGAGTATAATGTCTAAATTAAATGTCTGTCTGTGTGTCAATCTACATTCCATATTGGATCCTTTGGTCGCAAGCAAAGCTGCAACGGGTACAGCTAGTACATAATAAAAGTGCTATATACTGATTTTGATGTTTTCTGTGACCTTTGACCTGTGTTGATGTCACTGTCGTATGAATCCGTTACTTTATTAGTAAAGTGCAGAGTGTATCTGACAAGTTTGACCCTAATTAACAAAGTTATTGACATTTTGCTGTTCCTACCCCATCTTTGTTTTTTTGTCAAAAAACATAGGAAATGACAAAATACCATGTCTGATATTGCAAAACTATAAGAATGGCACAACTAAGACTGCCTAATTTATATTTTATACATATTTTTGTATTAAAATTCACCTTCAAACCTTTTAGATCAGACGCAACAATCAAAATCCCACAGCTCTTGATTTAATAGTTCACTAACTCAAACCCAGTGACTGCTGACATGCTGACGCACATGTACCAGTCTATTTCACATATATGTTTGTCAAACATAACAGTATGCAAAATACTAGCAGTAAGCTTTCAGAGTTTCATATTACATTGAAGTTAGTGTCTTACTTCCCCACAACCAACCATGAACAAGATTATTAGAGCATGGGAGTAGGTCACCTACCCAGGTTCTCAACTATAGTGAGACCAGAGAGCGGAGCTCCAGCTTTATTGTATTCCTTGTCATATATTAAATCCATGTTCTAACTGCTAAAGATTCTGTTTCCCATTGCAATTATGTTGAATGTAAACATGTTCAAACTGTCTCTGTTACCTTACAGTTTGTTGATGTGTTCTTATTTGCTAGATATTTTCTGAGTACAGAAGATTCTCCAAGAGGAAGACAGTTGTACAGGTAAGCAACAATTTAATTGTAAAAGGGACCTTATAGAGTCAAATCACTTGTTCCATGTTGCTTTAAAGCTACATTGGCAATTGGACATTGACAATGAGAAGTAAGCAGGAAGCATAAAAGAATTCTGGAAAGGGACTGGGCAGAGTGTGGAAGAGAAACTTTGAGATAAAGGAGCTATTGAATCTAAACTGTGTTGTGGATTGATAAATAATGCACTCATCACCACCATTTCTATTCCCAATGAATAATTCAATTGCTGTGGGTGAGTATCTATGCTGGTGTAAAATGTGGTCAGTGAGTTGAGTTTCATAATGGGAATTCTGCACTGCTGGGGCCCAATTCATTTTTTTTACAACACAGTTAGTGTGTGCAAATAATGTTTTCCAATTTTCTCCTCTCTGGTCTGGCTTCCTCTTGTACAGTTGTACGGAAGCTGGTTGGCCTCTGAGGTTGGTATGAGAGGATATAGGGTTAGGAGCCTTAGGTTAACAAAAACTCCATGGAATACAAAGATTTCTGTGGTACTGGAACCAAGGAGAAGAATATTTATTCTGTTTTTAAGGAGTTAATTCATGCAACATCAATTATGTTTTTCTTACTACAATTAATATGATTATATGTAAAAAAATAATCTGTATATCTCATACAGGCCTGTTAAATTTCATCTACCATTCTCCAGTGTAGAACACAAGCTCTGCTCCTGTATGGGAAAGAGACTTTATACATTTAAAATTGGAGGGAAGCTGAAAATATGGCAATTTGTCGCAGTGCAAGCAAAATGTGTTGTGGTATAACATCAAAAGAAAATGTATTCCTCATTGTTAGCTCTGCATTTCTATGCTTGTTTTGTTTAACAGCGTTCACACTGTGGGAGCATTTCACCGACAGTGCCTGTCGTGCAACTTCAAGCAGGATAGCTGCACCTACTTCAGTGCTGACTTCAGTCCGAGTAACCAGCATTTCATCCTGCATTGTGAAGGTAGGCTCTCAGTCACTTGAGAGATACAACATGCTCAACAATCAATGAGCAGCTCCTCCATAATTAAACATTCCTGTTGCTATTAAGCAGGTGAGATTGGCTATGATTTATCTATGAATGAGTTTGCTTGCCGATCAAATGGAAGCTTTCACAAGTATCAGTGACTTTGTATTCCATGTTTCTGGTAAAATTGAAGGCTTGCATTATATTTGAATGATAACAATAAAAACAACAACAAAATTACATTTGTATTGCGCTCTTCACGTTGGGAGGACATCCCAAGGTGCTGGACAGACAGAGTTACAGACCCGAGCTGAGGGCAGGGGGGAAGCAGGGAGATCGAAACCACGGTTGAAGAGGGGGGTCTTGAAGGTGGCGAGGGAGGGAGCGAGACGGAGGGACTGCGGGATGGAGTTCCAGAGGGTGGGTGCAGAGTGGCGGAAGGCCCGCCTGCCGATAGTGGGGTGAGCAAAGCGGGGGACGTGAAGCAGCCCAGAGCCCGCTGAGCGGAGGGAGCGAACAGGGTGGTAGGGGGGTAGGAGGTCGGAGAGGTATGGGGGAGTCAAGACTATGGAGGGCTTTGAAGGTGAGGACCAGGATCTTAAACTGAATCCTCTGTGTGATGGGAAGCCAGTGGAGTCGGGCGACGATGGGGGTGATAGGGTCACAGAGCCTGGTGCAGGAGAGGACACGGGCTGCAGAGTTCTGGATGATCTGCAGCCCGTGGAGGGAGGAGTTGGGGAGGCCGACAAGCAGTGAGTTATCGTATAATGATAACTAAATTCTCCATTCTGATCACGTATTTTGGGAATCTTGCAAGATATGCTGAGATATGTAGTGCTTCACTAGGATCCCATGAGAACTATGTGCTTGAGATGTTGGAAGGGTTTGAGGCTTGGAAGTGAAGAGAGGGTATCAATGTCTTAAGATTCTGTGTGTGGGAAGGAAGTCTCAACTCTCCTGAGGATTTTGTGCATCTAGTTCTAACTTGTGGCATTGCACAAATTATCTAGACAGGCATAAATGTACTTCAAAACATGATCAAAATCCTACAGGGACAAGAAAGCTTTGCATTCTGTCAAACGGTCCTTTCTAGATGATCATTAACACTAGTGATTAATTCCTAGGATATCTTATGTGCAGTTTTATGATTGCAGTAATATTGTGCATATGATTTGTAATAGGGTTACAGCTTCACTCTAATTCAAGATAACCGAACAGCCAACATGTAAAACTGGCATTCCACAACAGTAGCAAAGAAATGGCAACATGTTTTACAGTATCCACACCTACCTCAGCACCTTTCACTTGGCCAACAATCCCCAGAATAAAATTGGTCATTCACTTCATGGCTGTTTGAGAGACATTTCTGTGGGCAAATTGGCCTTGAATTTGTTTACAATATACAGTCACCACACTTTACAGTAAATCCTGTCTAGTACTTTGAGATGTCCTGGCATGAAAGGCACTATATGAAATCAAGCATTATATTATTCCATTATACATCAATGATTCCATGACACACACTGTGAATGAAGTCTAATACATCACTTGTTAAGTCACTGAGCCCTGGAGAAGGTAAGCAAAACAGAGTTGTTTAACGTATATAATAATAATACTTTCATTTGTTATAGCGACTTATCACATCTTTGAGACGTCTCAAAACACTTCACAGAATATACTGTAAAAGGAATTGAATATTTTGTGGGCAAAACGTAGCAGCAATGGCGCACGCAGTGTCCCACAAACAATCGTGAATTGAGTGTCCAAAAATGTTTTAAATTTAAAGTGATTATAATAATCCTTGTTTTTTTGATATAGTGCCTTATTATGTCTTCTAGACGTCTCAAAGCGCTTCACAGAATAAACTGTAAAGTGAATTGTCTGATTGTTTTGTGGGCAAAACGCAGAGGCCAATTGTGCACAACAGTGCCCCACAAACAGTCGTGGATTTTAAGTAACCAATTTATTATAATCTCAGTTTAACAACTTGCACGTATATAGCCCTCTCCACCCAGTGTAGTATCTCAGGGCGCTTAACTGTGCCTGACTCCGAACCGGGGTGGGGAGGTGACCGTAATCACGGTCAAAAAGATAGCAAAGGATTTAATCCTGTATCTTATGCAATAACCAGTGCACCCTCTCCCCCCAGCATAGCAATGGCATTAGCCTAGACTATGAGGTCAAAGGCACAATTTTAGGTCTGAACTCACAGCCTTTCTAACTCAGAGATGAGAATGCTACCAACTGAGCCAAGCTGACTGTATTAAGGAAAGCTTGAGCTAATGGATATCAGGATCTGATAAGTTAGACGTTAATGTCTACTACAAAGACATAAGAAACAGGTCAATATATCAGTGATCAGCCTAAGATTGACCCTTTTGAATTTACTTGATCCCTATGAACTCATAGTAAGTGCCTTTTTTAAAATAAAAAGCCCTAGGGTGAAAATCCATATTTTAATTGCTGTTCTGTATTAAATGAACGTGCTATTTTAAAAAGTAGAGTTTCATCTTTCATTCCCCTTCTTTTCCTGAAGATGTCTGACTTTTATTTACTTGGATTGGGGTATGGTTACCATCAGGTACCTTGACAATGATCATTGTGTGTGAGTCTTAACAGTTAAATATCGGTGGAGTGTTCAATCAGGAATAGAAAGATTGCAGCCAAGTCAGATCATGGCAGTGGTGACTGAACAAGTAATCAGTAGCAATGGGACCAATTATAGTGCCCAACTGTCCTCTCAGCTGAGATTAGCTGACTCAGCATGTACTTGGGTCAGTTGCTTACTGACTAAACTCACTAAATCATCAAGTGAAGCAATTTACATTGTTTAAATCAGATAATAGCATGATCACTTCTCTTATATTAAAGTGCTCCCCCCAAAAAAAATAAAGTATTTGAACAAATTAATTATAAAATAAAGAATCAAATCTTTTATTATGGTCTAGTAATTTGCAGCATATGAGTTTAATTGCATTCATCATGCAGTTACTGGGATAAAAAAAACATGGAACTCACTCCATTAATAAAAACGAAACGTTTTAGTACAGGTATGTTGAGAGAAAACACAAGTGGGGATGAATTCCACCTGGGTTTATATTAACCTAATGTATCAGAACATCCAGAATTTTGCAAATTATTAAATCCAACTTTAATTATGAAGCCAGTTTTCTGTAAGTTCTTTTTAAGAACCGGAGTAAACTGACTTCAAAGTTTAGACTGAGTTCAACAATTAGAATGTGAACATTCTAAAATGCTACTTTAATAGAGTAAATCTAGACCCAATAGCATTTATCCCCTAAGATTGTTTCCATTGAAGGTTGTTACAAAGTAGACTGCATGTTATAAAGTAGACTGTGCACATTTTATTCTTTAACAATTGCACATACTATACTGCAGTATGGACCGATTGATTCAAGAACATGATAACAAATCAAGTTCTTAAATTTTTCAGTCTATCCACATTTACTATTGTAGCATGTGTTGCAGTAGTTGTTTGCTCTCTGATCAAAAAGTGGAAGAAAACCAAACTGGAATGCAGTAAGTCTCTATCCGAATGTTCCGTAACCAACTTTGCTCTCAGCAGTTCTTGCTCTCAGTGGTACAAACACATCAAGTAGTTTCGGTATTGTTTCCTTGGATTTGTATCCTATTGATAAATTTCTAGACTCACATATGATTTGTGTTTGAAATCACTTCCCTGTACAGTGGTAACACTTCAATAATTGGTCAACGATTGAGCATGGATCTTGCCTCTGATTCACTATGGTTAATTACAAGGCTCTCATTTAGAAATTAAATTTATCATTTTATTATTAATAAGCATGACTGTACATCTCTCAGTAAAGGAGGCTGCCTGTGATCAATCTGCTCAATTGTATAAACCAAGACTATTAACCACGTGGAGCCTCGTAGGACTTCGGGTTCAATTCCCGGGCGGTGCGAAACCTAAGGTAATGCCTCTGTTTACTTAGCAGTATGTAGAAACCCAGATGTTAGTCAGAGTGATGTTTCACTATAAACCAACTACAAACCAAATGTGAATTGGATTCACATTTGGTGAGAATCAATTTGGACATCATTCAGAAATGATGTATTAAAAGCTTTTGGCCAATCCAATGACCCCTTTGTTTTTAAAAAATGCTGGTTGAATTGCTGATTCTTTAATGAAATGGAAAAAAAAAGTGACAACGCTCTGCATATGCATATCCATTGGTATAAACAAAACATTAGACTTTCAACTTCTAACACATCTCAAGATTTTTATAATTATTGCAGCCAATGGAGGTGACCAGTCTAACATCCCTGCCTGATTCCCTGGATGTTAAACTGGTCACAGCCATCTCTCATTGCAACAATAACCATTCATCACTACATCTTGTTTCCTATTTTTTAGCCAATTTATTACCCAATTATCTCCTTCCTCCTTTATCCTTAAAAACTGTCTACTTTAGCCATAAGTCTCCTGTGACACATTTTGCACAAAGTAGAGCAAACCCTATTATAATGTGGTCCTTGGCCTTAGAAGCTATCCAAAACTTGCATTATATCAAAGGTCATTTTACGAGCGAGACACACTGAATATTCTAAAGGAAGACAATGAAAGAAAATATCCCCTTTCAAATCCACAGATCAATGGCTGGGAGGGAATTAAAAAGTTGCTTAATGTTCCTTTCCGGTTATTGCATTTTGCATTATTTGTTTTTTATGTTCTACAATTGATACCAGGTCAGAGAATTTTATGCAGTAGCAGATTGGAGAAAACACAACATTCAATTAAAAAAATAATTACTGGAAACAAATGTTTAAAATCTCCTAATTGTCCCATGTTGTTTCTTCTACATGGTGTTTTTTTGGCTTCAAGGTGTTGCCAAAAGAAACAGATTACAGCCAAACGTATGTAGGCTACAATGAACCTTCTGTGTAAATTAAATTACCTGCAGTTGTATGAGTAAACAAAACTCTTTAGGTCAATGCCTGTGTAAAAACAATGTCATGTAAATACAGATCTTACAAGTGTAAAATTCTCACATCACTTAACGAGATGTATATGCTGTAGCTCTAGTTTCCCAATCCAACATTGCTATTCAGGAGATTCAGCATTTCAATCCAAGTGGGAATTGGGAAAATCTAAGTCTCGTATCACTATTTCATGCTTTGATTGTTGACCGGGTCTAAATTCTGAAGTAACCTTACATATCCAGGTACTATGCACACAGTTTTGTGACAATACTTTAAGGGCTGAATCTGATAAATAAAACAACAACAACAACAAGCTTCCATTTATAAAGCGCCTTTCACGTCAGGAGGACGTCCCAAGGCGCTGCGCAAAACAGGGCAAACATGGTTCTTTTGGCAGGTGACATAAAGGCTGCGTTTACTAACTGACTTGAGTCCAGCAGCCTGGTCAATGGGACGTGCACTTGTGAGTAATTCTATGAAGTTTCAATGCACATGTTGCTGAGACGTCAAGACAGTTTGGATGCTTGGTGCCATTGTACTGAAGCTGATACAGTACTATTCTCTGAGTCTTCCCAACCGAGCTATCTTTTCACACTGGCAACAGGCTCTTCACACATGTGCAACAATAATAACAACAACAAAATTACATTTATAGAGCGCCTTTCATGTCAGGAGGACTTCCTAAAGTGCTGAACGGTCAGGTGTTGGGACCCGAGCATGGGGGAGTGGTGGTGTAGGGGTGAGTAGTGGGAGAGAGACCAGAGTGTGGGGGCAGAGAGGCTGATAGCCAAGCCACCAATGGTAGAGCGGGTCGGGCGGGAGACATGGAGCAGACCAGAGCCCGCTGAACGGAGGGAGTGGGCAGGTTGGCAGGGAGTCAGCAGGTCAGAGAGGTAGGAGGGGGCAAGGCCATGGTTGGCCTTAAAGGTGAGGACAAGGATCTTGAACTCAATCCTCTGGGGGATGGGGAGCCAGTGGAGTCGGGCGAGGGTGGCAGTGATGGGGTCGCGGAGCCTGGTGCATGAGAGTACACTAGCTGCAGAGTTTTGGATGATCTGCAGCTTGCGAAGGGAAGAGTTGGGAAGGCCGATGAGGAGGGAGTTTCCATAATCGAGCCTTGATGTGACAAATGTGTGGGTGAGGGTTTTGGCAGCCTGAGGGGTGCGGCAGTGGCGGAGTCTGGCAATGTTGTGGAGGTGGTGGTGGGCAGTGCCGATCATGGCGTGGATATGGGGGAGAAAGGACAGTTCAGGGTCAAACAAGACACCCAGGTTCCTGACTGGCTTAGTGAGGTTGAATGTGGAGCCATGGAGGTTGATGCTGCCAGTGCCCGAGGTGCGGAGGCGCTGGCGTGAGCCAACCAGGAGCGCCTCAGTCTTGCTGATGTTGAGTTGGAGAAAGTTGTGCCTCGTCCAGGACTTGATGTCGGACAGACAGTCGGTCAGGACTTCAGTAGTCCTGGAGTTGAGGGTGGAGGCAGAGAGATAGAGTTGGGTGTCGTCCGCATACATGTAGAAATTTACCCCATGTCTGTGGATGATGTCACCAAGGGGGACATGTAGAGGGTGAAGAGGAGGGGACCGAGGACAGAGCCCTGAAGAACCCCGCACGAGACGGCGCAGGGGCTGGAGGAGAAGCCGATTGTTGCGACGATGCCTTGGCCTTTCTCCCATTGCCCTTGCTCCTATGCTAGTCCGGCTCTCCCGCTGGTCTTGCTCCCACATGGTCTTGCCCAATTCACTCAACTCCCACTCGCTGGTCTCTCAACACTCTGAAAATGATGGAGGTTCTAAGTGAGGCAATGCCTCACCTGAGATGCCACTGAGTTAAAGCAACCTATTTGGAGTGAAATTGGAGCCTTTATTTTCACGTACATAGTTTGAAATTCTGGAGTGGAAAATAGAATTTAACATTGAATCTGTTATGAAACATTATACAGTAGAATCTCATTATAAAGCGCCCCCTAATAAGATAGGTTCGAATATAAGGTGGGTGACCTGTTAGGACTCGTAGACTGGATTGCATCACTTGCACCAAAACTGGCCAACTTCCATGTCATCAGGTCACCACTGACGTTACCTCCTACCATTGCCCATATCACAAATGCATAGGTTGTAGGAAGTGACATTGTAGTTTCTATTTTAACTCTGCCACTGCCTCACCCCTCAGGCCGCTGAAACCCTCATACATGCCTTCACTAGAGCCAGGCTCGGCTATGCCAACACCCTCCTTGTCAGCCTTCCCAACTCTTCCTTCCACAAGCTGCAGATCATCCAGAACTCTGCAGCTTGTGTCCTCTCCCACACCAGGCTCTGTGACTCCATCACACACTCTCCACTGGCTCCCCATCCCTTAGAGGATCTAGTTAAAAATGTTCACCCTCACCTTCAGGGCCCACCATGGCCTTGCCACCTCTGATCTGCTAACCCCTTATCAACCTGTCCACCCCCTCCACTCAGCAGGTTCTGGCCTGCCCCATGACTTCCACCCGGCCCAGTCCGCCCCACAATTGGCAGTCGGGCCTTCAGCCTCTCTGCCCCCAGCCTTTGGAACTCCATCCCTCATTCCCTTCATCTTGCTCCCTCCTTTGCCTCCTTCAAGGCAGGTCTCAAGTCCCGCCACTTCGACCGTGCCTTTGGCCACCCTCTCCATCCTCTCCACCCTCCCTTGATTCCAAACCCCGCACCCCCGCAGCTCGGGTCTTAACAATCCCTGACTGTTCAGCGTCTTGGGACATCCTCCCGACATGAATTGCACTTTACAGATGTAATTTTGTGTTGTATTGTGCCCCATTATAACACAAAGTTCAAGTTTATGAACCCAAAACTTATGCTATTACAGGATTCTTCCACAATGAGGTTATAACAGGAGAGAAGAACGAGTCAAGTCATTCAGTGTCTGACCCCAGTCACACCTCCACCCCCCACCCTATGGCAGCGCATGCGGGAAGCTCCGATCGTTAACCACAAGATGTTGCCCTTAATCCTTCTCTCTGTCTCTCTCTGCTCTCTCATTCTTTTTGTTTCTCTACCCCTCTCATGCTCTCTATCAACCACTCTATCTCTACCCCCTCTCTATCTTGCTTACGTTCCACTCTCTCTCCCCCTCACACACACTCTTTTTCTCAATTACTCTCTCATGCTTTCTCTTCCCTCTCACACACTCTCTTCCCTCTGAATCCTTTGTTAGTTGATTGGCCGTTCGCTTTTCTGGGGGTAATAAATCCTTCTAAAAAAAAAGTAATAATAAATTGGTAACTCAATCCATGAGTGTTTGTGGGACGCTGCTGTGCACAATTGGCTGCTACATTTCATCCACAAAATATACAGTCAATTCACTTTATTGTGAAGCGCTTTGAGACATCTCATTATCTGCAAGAGCCATTGATTGCTATGGACAATGGTGGATAAGGAGAAGTGCTTGCCTTCCTGACAGACTTCAGTAATGGCCAGTATTATTTTCACTCTCCGCATTGTCTCAACCCTGGGCTCCTGCCGCTGCCTTGGGAGAACGTTCATCAGGGAGGGAGGGAGGGAGGGAGGGAGGTTGGAATGCTGAAAATGGCCTTGGGTCAGATAAAATCACCCGTGGGGTCAGATGCAGCCCATTGGACCACACTGGCCTACAATTACACAATAAAATCCTGTGAAGCCCTTTGAGAGTTTTCACCGATGGGATAAGGTGCTGCGCTAAATCAAATGCAAGTATTATTACATGTCAACACTGCAAATCAGAAGACTTGTAAAATTTGTAAAATCCCCAGAGGTATTAACAACAAAATAAATTATACAGCAAACACTGAGATAAAGAATCTGTTGAGGTTTGTGAATTGTATATGGATCATCTAAACTATTCATTCTGTATATTTTGCAGGCCCTGATATACCCATGGTGTCTGTTCATAGCACAAGCGATCCAAATGGTAAGTATGCATTTCAGCATATCAGTTCAACATCTTTTATTCCTTTCAATAATTTTAGGATTGCTTTTCACATAGAATAAGAAGCACTTTTATATTGTTTAAATTCTTTCACACATCCAGATTATTGCAAAAATTAGCAATTAAAATCTGATTATATCATCAAAACTTTACTGATCATTATTCCCCTATGGTCGATTCAACTCATATCGACCTAATATATCTCCTTGAACCTGTTCCTTAAATTTGTTTGGATGCATTGAGACACCAGAACAAAAGGACATGGGTCTCGGGTTACAAAGGGCAATTTCAGCATAGACATCGAGATTTATGTCTTTAACTAATTGATACATGAAACAGGTCAAACGGTTGAGGCTAGGACACTGACTTTTTTTAAAAGGTAACAGCTTGTTACTGTGATGGGAGAGTAAGAGGTTGGGTATTATGGTATGATGAGATCAAATCGACTGAAGGATCTTCTTCATCCAAACCTCACTTATGATTATGAAATTTCTCTGTTTACGAAGAACCATTTGGTAAAAGCATTTTGTTTGGAAGGAAGACAAGGAACAGAAAATGTGCATTTTCATCACAGTGGTATTACATGCAAGCGGCATAATAGAGTTTGTTGTGATTTATCTCTTAACAACATGGGTTTGTGAACACTGAGATTGTGTTGACAAGCAGTTTTGTTTTCATGAATACAGTGTCCCTTTAAGAGAGAATAATGTAGCCAAGGACAGAAAGTTTCCATTGCAAGCCGTGGAAGTGGCACAGTGGATGCTATCAGTTTTTAGTGCTCTTAGTTTTTGTATTTCTGAGCTGGAATTGCTAACATACAGGCAATAGGCCTTTAGGGAGGAGCCCAGAAAGTCACCAAAAAAACTGCTGCTGATGGCAAGTGACCTTAGACTGTTGTCAATTCTCCTACAAGTTACTTTGTTATTAAATGTGCTAAGCTAATGTTCTAACCTTTGTTTTATTTTATCCGTCATTTATTTCAGCAGTTAGTGTTCACGATCAAGAAGAAAATGCAAGCATGTTGTCCCTGGTCATTTAGGGATAACTGAATATTAATGCCAACAACTTTGAAGTTTATGGTCAAACACAGAATCAATAAAGTTGCTTCACGAGCAAGGGCAGATGGTTGTATTATTGATATTGCAGGATAAAAGTAGATGTCCTGCTTTTCCCAACATGTTGAAATACAATTTATTGCATTGATTAATGCGTAAGATTAATGCGTAAAATGTGGCTTCTACGAGTTGCAACAAAAATCAGAAATTAATTTACAAGTAAAGACAAAATGCGGACAAAACAGTTTCACTTCTATTTTGAATTTTTCTCATAATTTTGTTATTATTTTCTCTTTGACCGTGCCTTCAGCTCCCCTCTCGACTCTCTTCCCCCTCCTCACTCCCTCCCTTCCCTCCCCTCACCATTTCCCCCCTCCTCTCCCCCTCCCTTCCCTCCCCTCACCCTGACCATTTCACCCCTGCTCGGGTCATGACCCAACTGTGCAGCGCCTTGGGACGTCCTCCTGACGTGAAAGGCGCTTTATAAATGGAATCTTGTTGTTGTTGTTGTTGTTGTTAATTCTGTTATTTGATAAGGGAACAATTGAACTATATCCCACTGGAACTTTACTGGTGCCTATAAAAATACAATGCATGATGCGAGGTATAATGAGAGAGCTGCACTTTACGTGACTGTTAAATTCTTAGGTAACCTTGCTAACTAATCAAGCTTTTTTATGAGCATAATTAAAGATAACCTTGTCTATTTCATTTTACGTTATACAGACTCCTACATATTGGAAACCAATACTGTTCTTAGGGAAGTTATTAGAGGGAAAAGGATTCACCAACCAGAATACAGAACTCTTCGTATTGCTGAATATGGTGAGTTTGTTTGTTTTAATCTATCTCTCTATGGGACAGTGGGTGGCATAATTGAACTAGAGTAATTTGTGGTGGTCAACTACAGTGGCTGAGAAGTGCATAACACAAAAATTAAATACAAAACAACAAAACGCATTAGGTTCAGCAGGCTCCATAATAGAACTCATTATTGTCAAACACAAATCAATGTAGTCATTTGTACTATCATTGAATCTAAATAGAAAACAAAGCAATGTAAAATTACAGAAGGTCATAATGAGATCCCAGCAGGCACAATCAAATCAAACCAAATACAATGTCAGTCACTCTGAATGAAAATCAAGAGAACTCAGCAATGATTTGGCACTGTTTATTCATGGATGGAATTTAAGGTTCACTTTAACCAAGGATAATGAGATGGTATTCGTTCAATAGATCCTTGTGAAATGGGTGTCATATGATATCAGCCACATGAAAATTGTATTGTTATTTTGACTATGAGAATGTTCGTTTCAAGTTTCATGAATATTATTCACACATATGATAATTTGAAGTTCACCAATAAGTTAACACCACATGCTTTGTCCCCAGACCTCAACCTGCAGATATCTTATCCTGAGGGACTTGAAGAAAACAATCTATATCCACTTCTGCTGATTGTGTAAGTAGCTGTATTATAATAATATTATCTTTGCATTTGATATAGTGCCTTATCACGCCATTAAGACATCTTCACAGAATATATTGTAAAAAATGTGTATTTTGTGGGCAAAACGCGGCAGCCAATTGCGCACAGCAGTGTCCCACAATAGTCATGGATTGGGTGACTTTTTTTTTTCTTGAGGGATTATTACACCCAGAAAGCGATCCGCCAATTGACAAACAACCAGTTTCCTACTTCCTGCTTGGTAAACAGAGGCATATGGCATAAGGAAACTTGCCTAAGATTTTGCCCTGCCTGGGAATTGAACTCAGGTCCTCTCGCTTGCGAGGCGAATACTCTAACCACTAACCTATGGAATTTGCCTCGCAAGTGAGACCTGGGTTCTATTCCCAGCAGGGCGAAATATTGGGCAAGTTTCTTTACTCCACACATCTCTGTTTACCTAGCAGTAAGTAGGAACCCAGTTGTTAGTCGATTGTCAGATTGCTTTTCTGGAGATAATCATCCCTAAAGAAAATAATAATTTGATGACTCAATCCAAGACTGTTTGTGGGACACTGCTGTGCACAATTGGCTGCCACATTTTGCCCCCAAAATATACAGTCAATTCACTTTACAGTATATTCTGTAAAGCACTTTGAGAAGTCTAGAAGAAGTGAAAAGCTCTGTATCAAATGCAAGGATTAATATTTTATTTAATTCCACTGTACCATTATTTTGCTACCGCCGTTCTTTACCGTTCAGATTCACACTGGCAAATAGACTAAGAATGCAGCTCATGTTCAATCTTAAGCAATTATAGAAAAGCTGATTCTCAGGTAACTAATGTTAACCTGTTTCCTTCACAGGCAAAATGGGTGGTTTATATTAAGAGGTTTTAACCTTTGTATAACCATATACATCATCATGGGAATGCTCTTGAGATGCCCTATAATATTCTTGGAAATCTGATTTTTCACTTGAGCGACTCTTCCTTCTGTTCCTTGGAGAAAACAGATGTGAAGTCACTATTTAATATCTTTCCCTTTTCTAAATCCTGTACTTTTCCATTTGTCTGCCATTCCTGGGTCATTGCTAACTATTAGATCCAGAATAGCATCAGATCATGTCGGCTTTTTGAAAAGCCATGAAAGGAGGTAATCAGTACTATCTCTAGAATTAGTTATGGCTCATTAGATTTTCTTCTGCTGTTTTCCAGGTCAATATCTGGATAATTGAAATCCCTTATGATTAATGTTCTGGCCTTTCTACTGTCTTCCCTTAATCTGTAAAACTATGGATATGATGTGCTGTTGTGCATTTCATCTCATATCATTGCTTCTATGTTCCTTGTGTCTTGTGCACAGAAGGTATGACGATCTGTCAGAGTATACAATCAAAGTTATTCCAATACCATGGCAAGAAATTTCACTTCAAAATGTGTTTCCTTTTAAATGGACAACCAAAGGGTCTCTGTTGTCGACTAGGGTGGGAGAGAACTCCTAATTTCTTATTTTATTATTTGCAACATAACTCTGATCCATGTTTGAATGAATTAAAATAATTATCGATTCATGAATGGAATTTATGATGCCTTCAGCAAAAAGTGTACCCTGATAAAAAGGTTACACAATCAGCAGTTCCAGGCTCTCACCCCCTGCTCTAAAATTACAAGATTCGTAAGCAAATTAACAAGATTCAAGAAAAGCAAAATAGTAAGCATAATGCTGCTAAAAGGCAGAATTGGCTTCGATAGCGTTGACCTCTCACAAAGCCTACCGAAGCTCATTAAAAGGGATTTGTGAGTGCATACTGCAAATCCTAAAATGAAAATTCTGCTTTTTAACCTGAACAAAGAAGTCAGACTTTTTTTTTCTAAGGTGCCTTACTAATTTTCCTGGATATTTTATATGTCCATTTGAAAAATAATCAGAAATGTATAATGTGGAAAGTAATCATGAGCCAAAGATAACTGACCCTAGCACCCACTGATCTGGGTTCTCACATGCCTCAGTTTCTGTCCTTCTGATGTTCACATTTACATTAATGACCCTCCTCTTGAATGACATAAGCTGACCTCTATATTTGAGATAGTGTGCTCCTGTAGTTTGATAGCTCACCAGACAAAATTGTTAATATAGAGCAATAAAAATAACCTCCTAATTACATATCAAACATTTATTGCTAAACTGACATAAAATGCACTGCATGTTCCTTAGCCGTAAGCCATTTTCCAACTTGCAGTTTGCAAATTTCATCTTGCATTTAATTGCAGACAGTTTGGTTCATCAGGATCTCAGAATATACTTAGATAACTTTGCATCACATAATTAACATAGAGTATCTTCAAAACTGATCATAATATTTCATACCTAGTAAAACAATTAAATATATACATGGAATTGTTTGTACATTAGAATATATAGTTAACTCATATAAGTTAGTATAGTTTGCCTGTATGAAAACTGACTTTGTTATAGAAAGCACAACAATAACTTGCATTAATATAGCGCCCTTCACACAGCGTCCTGGAGTGCTTGACAGTGGTGGAGTCTGACCCCGAGCCAGGGGAGGAGGGAGGGGGAGATGACTGTAAGTAAGATCAAAAAGAAAGTTTTTAGGCAGGATTTGAAAGTGGGGAGAGAGGGGACAAGGGGAGGGATTGAGGGAAAGAGTTTTGGGGCATAGTGGCTGAAGACAAGGCCACCAATGCTAGAGAGGACAAGAGACGTTCTGTAGGCCGGAGCCAGCTGAGCAGAGGCAGCAGGTGGGGGAGTGGAGGGTGAGCAAGTTGGAAAGGTCGGGAGGTGTGACGGCATGAAGGGATTTGAAAACTAGTGAGAGGATCTTGAAATCAATCGTTCGGTAATAGGGAGCCAGTGGAGCCTGGCAAGAACTGGTGTGATGCGATAAAAGAGTTTTATGTGGGTGAGAATCCAGGCAACTGAATTAGTTGTGTATTGTGGAGCTGGGGAGACGGAAAGTGACGAAGGTGTGGATGAGGGTTTTGGCTGCTTTTGTCGTGAGGTACTGATGAAGGTGGCACAAGATCATTTTTCTAGAAAAACTCCATCTGTAGGGTAGTAACTAGTCTGTTCTATGTTGAGACTAATCATAAATGGGTAGTATTTCTAATATTAAAATTAACTGATGATAGCAAACTATATGGGCAGGTAAATAATGTGAGCAGCATAAATAGCATTCAAGCAAATGGGAGAAGAATGGAATTGTTACTCTAAATAAATGGAAAACAAAAGGAAGTTTGGAACAATTGTGTGTTAACTCCGTGGTAACACTCTCACTTCTGAATCAGAAGGTTGGGGGTTCAAATCCAACGTCGGAACTTGAACTCACATAGTCTAAGTGACACTCCAATGCAGTGCTAGGGGGTGTTGCATTCTCAGAAGTGCTGTCTTTCAGGTGAGACATTAAACCGAGGTCCCCTCTGCCTGTTCAACTGGATGTTTAAAATGCCATGGCACTATTTGAAAGGGAGTTTCTCCCATGTCCTAGCCAACAATCCCCAAATAAAATTGGTCATTCATTTCATGGCTGTTTGTGGGATATTGCTGTGCACAATTGTGCTGCCGTGTTTGCCGACAAACCCACAGTCATTCCAGTAAATCCTGTAAAATGCTTTAAGGCATCCTTTGACGTGATAAGATGCTGTACCACTTGCAAGAATTATTGTTATTACTAGTATGCATTTGTGCAAAACAAAGTGGTGTACAGGAGGATTTGACCTTGATTTTTGCTCAGTAGTAAAATGTTCTCATCAATTTGAATCTGTTAAAAGAAGTAATGAACCAGGTAAAGTAGGATTAGAGAATACAGGAAATTGAGATGAACAAATTAAAGACTATAAGGTAACTAGTTGCATATATTATATTGCATATAAATAAAACCCATGCATATTAAACTGATTCTATTGTATTTGCATCAGAAATAATTCAGTCCAGCCTTTAGAGATAACTTAAGTTTATAAACTTTGTTTCAGAATGCATTATAACTATAATTCTTAACAGTAGTGGATTGCAGACGAATATAAATTTACGGCTGCAGTGTAAAGAGGTTTGCAGTTTCATCCTGGGTAGTAGTGGTTTTGTACACAACAGTATATTCCAATGAGACACATACTTAGACAAAAGTTTCCAGTTGCGATTAATAAATACAGATGCAGTATATCTGATTATCAAAATTTTACAACAGAACTATATTTGCGTAAAACAAGTTACATATAATCAAAGCATGATGCAGTGCTTCTCGTGTGTGGCTTCCTTTCAGTGTTTTAAATCTTAATGCTTTATGTAAGAAGCTGAATCCAGTGAAGGATTGTCAATATTAATTATTTTCATTGTCTGGTGTTTGCAGTGATGGAACCCCGGGGAACCAGCTGGTTACAGATAGGTTTTGGATTGACTGGGATTCAGTACTTGTCAGCTCTGATAATGTCATTCTTGCCCGTTTTGATGGCCGGGGGAGTGGTTTTCAAGGACTTAATATTCTGCAAGCAATTCATCAAAACCTGGGAACCGTGGAAGTGTCTGACCAAATAACTGCAGTGAAGTATGTATTTAAAAAATCTGTCAGTTCTGCATAGTCTTTGTTTAAAGGTTATGTGTTTCTTTAAATGTTCACTGTAGTAGGCCATAAACATCATTATTTTCTCAATAGAGATGAGCCAGAGTAGCCTATTATCAACATCAGCAATAGCTTGCATTTATATAGCGCCATGTGGGGTAGCATCTTGGAGAGTTTGCCTAAGAAATGTAAACATTATATATTATATTTTCCTGACAAACGAGCTTGAACATCGTTGTGACTCAGTCTAAAATATGCTCTGTTTAGGTGGGTATTAATGATCCCCTAGTCAAAAAGAGATGAGAGTTTCTTTTGCCCCCAGGTGTCTTGACCAACAGTCCTTCAGATGAATTGGTATTTATGCCATAGCCATGTATGAGACATAGGGAGACATTACTGACACAAATAGCTGCTGTGTTTGTCTATAAACAGAAATTCTATAAATGCCCTACTGACTACCCGATGTTCCCAGAACTACTCGAGTAACCATTTGGAACCAATATATCCACAAGATTATTGTAGCGTTGCATAATCTCTGCATTATACAACCCAGGATCTGACATAATCATCCAAATGAGACCCAGTCAAACCCAACAAATATTTTTTAAAATGGTTTGCTGTGCTGGGAGCCACAGGTGTGAGTTGTGTTCTGCTTGCTGAACATATGGCAGTGAACCTACAATGAGATGTATAAATGGTACCAAAGATGTCATTTGTTTAAGAGTAAGACCACCCCTCCCTGAAACCTGGCATGGTGCACATTGCATATCACTGAAGCATTCATAAAAAGATCAGAAATGCAGTGCAAAAGAGATTTTCGATTTGACTCAGAAAGCAGGCTTCACTCCTACTCATTACAAATGGTTATTTAATGGGTGCCATCTTACAGCCCAGTTCTTTTAAACCTAAATACTGTATTATATAATAAGCTGCAGTTTAATCTACTTTTATTTATTGTGTTTTTGTGTTTCAGATATTTGCTGAAACTACCATTTATTGATCAAAACAGAATAGGTGTTTATGGGAAGGTAAACAACACTTGATTTTTAAGAAATCAAAATCTTCAATAAATGATCTGAGCTTAATCCTCAACAAATGACTCAGGTCAAGTGCATTGCTTTGCCCAATCACTCTAGCAGAGCAAAGCACCATTTCAAAGCACAAATTTAGTGAATTTGCTCATCAAATCCTGTTTCAGTGTGCTTTCATGTTTATGGCCCAGAATTCCATAATGGATTCACAAAGAAAATAGCATATAGCATATTGCAAATTTTCGCTTGAATGAAAACATTTGTAAAATAAAACAAGCACAGAGGCCTTTTGGATTCCAGCTCTGCAGAGCCACCAAGTTATTTTGAAAAGAAATGTGTTGCAAATATGTATTCTTATGCAGCATTTGGCTTCATTAAAGTTGCAGTGCCATAGACTGCTCCTCCTCCTACATGTACTATGGTAAATGAGTGTGCATGCAGACCGAATAAATTTAGCCTAACTATGGATAGAATTCAACTTGGATATTTAATGAGCTAAATTCAATTTTTTCTATAATTTTTCTTTTGTTGCATAACCTGAAATTATTGCTCATCAAATTCAAAACTGCAAGTAAATGTATTTATTATAATATTTGTAAATTCAATAGTTGAAGATCTGAATAAAACAATTTTCATGTATTGCAATGTAAAAACATCATCACAGATGGTGTGGAAGAGCAAAAGAGGCTCTTAACTTCAGTTGAACAACTCATATTCTAATCTTTTAAGTGAGTCATAGTTATGTATTTTGAAAACAGAACCTTGTTTTAAAAAGTGTATTGGGATTTTGTTTGATTTTGGTAGGGGTATGGAGGCTACGTAACATCCAGGATTCTTAGTTCCAATGAGAAACTCTTCAAATGTGGAATCGTCGTGGCACCAGTCACTGACTGGAAACTGTACGGTGAGTCACCACAAATTCACAGCATGTAAGAACTGATACTAGAACAGTGGTAGTTTAATACAAAAGTATTCAAATGTATTCTTTATAAACTATAGCCTCTAATATTATGAATTCTATTTCTAACCATTAAGACATCCTGCCCGATTGTTATGTTCCCAACACTCAATGTGTAGAAAACTATTTTATTCTCAGCTCACAAGTTATAAATCAAACAATCCAACCAAACACCCTTTCGTCAGTTCTCCCTGCTTCCTGCTTTGCTAGCTCCTGATCCCCTTTCATTGGCGCTAGTTAATTGGTCCTTATTTTCTTAAAGGGTATCCAACACCGATGAGCTGAGGGAATGGTGACTGCATGGTTTTGGCTGCCTGTCTGCACCAGATCCTCACTATCCATGTAGCACAAGGTACAATGATAGAAGCCACAAGGTACAATGATAGAAGCAACAAGGTCACCATCACATCCATCACTTTACCTGGCATATAAGCCTACAGTACTTACTTTCTCTGGTAGTTTAATGACTCTTTTAAATTACATTTCTGCATTCCCTCACTAATCCATGCATTAAGCAAAAGAAGTCGAGGTTGTTGTGACTGCTGCACACTTGCTCAGGGTGCTGGGAAAAGTTTGCTATGGATATATTTTTTAATGATTCAAGTTGTTAACTTAAGGAGCATGCCATCAACTAGAGCAATAAATATTGATTTATTGTAAGTATTTAAAACAAATTCGATCAATTGTTAACTGAGAAGGAAATGAAGGGACATGTGTTTGGATCAAGTCCGGAAACAACTCTTGGAAAGCTGTATGGTCATTTCTCATTGTTGCATTCTCAAACTTCACCGAAGACATCTGCGGACATTTAAAGGGTGTTAAATCAATATAGAAGCTGGGACTTGCCATGCCCATCTACAGCCTAGCAGACCCAAATGAGTCAAATTTGCAGTATTTCCTAATAGGAAATCCTGCCAACATTCAAATATTTGCCAGCCATGCATTGTATTCTCTATATTCAATGGGTATACTCTATATTCAGGTCAGTACATAGCAACATAGCAATGTATGTACTTGTATTTACTCACATTGTAAATTGTCCGATAGTGAAATATCAATCGTGTTCACTCACCAAGATCAGTACATTTACTGAAATCAAAGAACCATCTCCTATGTGATGGAAATGTCACTGTGAACTATGTGAAAAGTACTAGTACTCCTTGGTGTAATGTCACAATGTGGATCTCAGCATCATGTTTCAGAACAATTGCCAGAGAATGTTTCATGTAGGACAAATTGGAGATCAAAATATAGGGATGAGTTCCATTTTAATTGTCCTTGCTTTCCTGATGTACAGTTCATAATTCTGTGTATTAGGGATGTACACTCAACAAATTGCAGTAATAGAGCTTATCTTAATTTTGATGCAGACAACATTGATGAATTTGTGTACAACAACAACAACAACAACAACAAGATTCCATTTATAGAGCGCCTTTCACGTCAGGAGGACGTCCCAAGGCGCTGCACAGTTGGGTCATGACCCGAGCAGGGGGGGAAATGGTCAGGGTGAGGGGAGGGAAGGGAGGGAGAGGAAGAGGAGGGGGGAAATGGTCAGGGTGAGGGGAGGGAAGGGAGGGAGAGGAGGAGGGGGAAATGGTCAGGGTGAGGGGAGGGAAGGGAGGGAGCGAGGAGGAGGAAGAGAGTCGAGAGGGGAGCTGAAGGCACGGTCAAAGAGAAAGGTTTTGAGACCGGCCTTGAAGGAGGAAAGGGAGGAAGCAAGGCGAAGGCACTGGGGGATGGAGTTCCAGAGCCTCGGGGCTGAGAGGCTGAAGGCCCGACCACCGATAGTAGGGCGGTTGGGGCGGGGGACGTGGAGCAGACCGGAGCCAGAGGAACGGAGGGTACGGGCAGGTAGGTAGGGGGATAGTAGGTTGGAGAGGTAGGAGGGAGCAAGGCCGTGAATGGCCTTGTAGGTGAGGATGAGGATCTTGAAATCAATCCTCTGGGGGATGGGGAGCCAGTGGAGGCGAGCGAGGGTGGGAGTGATGTGGTCCCGAAGCCTGGTGCGGGACAGTACACGAGCTGCAGAGTTCTGAATGACCTGCAGCTTGTGGAGGGAGGTGGCGGGAAGGCCGGCGAGGAGAGAGTTCCCATAGTCCAGCCTTGAGGTGACAAAGGCGTGAACCAGGGTTTCAGCAGCGTGAGGGGTGAGGTAGTGCCGTAATCTGGCGATATTCCGGAGGTGATGGAAGGCGGTGCCAGTTGTGGTGCGGATGTGAGGGAGAAAGGACAGCTCAGGGTCGAACAAAACGCCGAGGTTCCTGACTGGCTTTGAGAGGTGGAGAGTGCAGCCTTGGATGCTGATGGTGTCAGCGCCTGAGGTGCGGAGGCGCTGACGTGAGCCAATCAGGAGGGCCTCGGTTTTTTGCACGTTGAGCTGAAGAAAGTTGTCTCTCGTCCAGGACTCGATGTCGGACAGGCAGGCTGTCAGGACATCGGTGGTCGTGGAGTTGAGAGTAGAGGAGGAAAGGTAGAGTTGGGTGTCATCCGCATACATGTGGAAGTTAACCCCATGTTTGCGGATGATGTCACCAAGGGGGAGCATATAGAGGGTGAAGAGGAGGGGACCGAGGACAGAGCCCTGAGGGACACCACATGAGACAGTACGGGGGGTGGAGGAGAAGCCATTCGTTGAGACGAAGTGAAGACGGTGAGAAAGGTACGACCTAAACCATTCAAGGACAGTGCCTTGAAGGTTGAGGTGGGAGGACAAGCGGTGGAGTAGGATAGCGTGGTCGACCGTATCGAATGCTGCCGATAGGTCGAGGAGGACGAGGAGACAGAGGGAGCCCTGGTCACAGATGGTCAGGATATCATTGGTGACCTTGACCAGGGCAGTTTCTGTGCTATGAGCAGCACGGAAACCTGACTGAAGGGGTTCAAAAAGAGAATGGGTGGAGAGGAAAGAGCGCAGTTGGGAGGCGACAACTCTTTCCAAGACCTTGGAGAGAAAGGGGAGGTTGGAGATGGGCCGGTAGCTTGATAGCTGCGACGCATCAAGGGAGGGTTTTTTCAGGGTGGGCGTGATGATGGCAGTTTTTAATGGAATGGGGACAGAGCCAGAGGAGAGGGACAGGTTTATGATGTCAGTGATGTGTGGGGCAAGAAAATGGAGCTGGGAGATAAGGAGTGGAGTGGGGATGGGGTCAAGGGAGCAGGTGGTTGGTTTTAGGGATAGGATGAGTTCAGTGACAGAGGGTGGGGAAACGGGTACGAAGGTGTGTAGGGGAGGATGGGTAGGAGTCGGAGTGTGGGAGGGAAGGGGTGGGTGGTGGGTGGAAGTTGGAGGGGAAGTGACCGCGGAGCGGATTCCCTTGATCTTGGATTCAAGGAAATCCAGCATCTCCTCGCAGTGAAGGTTGGAGGAGATGACCTGCGCGGGGTGGCGGGGGGGACGGAGGAGTCGGGATGTGGTGGAAAACAGTAGCCTGGGGTTGTTCTTCGCCTCCAGGATTATCCTGGAGTAGAAGGACGACTTGGCCGAGGCTAGAGTGGAGCGGTAAATTTTGAGGAGGTCCAGCCAGATTTGTCGGTGGACCGTTAAGCCGGATTTGACAAAGGTGCGCTCAGCAGCCCGCACCTGGCATTTCAGTGAGCGGAGGTGGGTGGTGTACCAGGGGGAGGAGCGGGAGTAGGAGACAGTGCGGGAAGTGATGGGGGCAAGAGTATCGAGTGTGGAGGAGAGGATATTGTGGAGGAGGGAGAGAGGAGAAGAGGGGTCGGTGAGGGTTGAAGGCCAGAGGGAGAGGAGTTCAGAGGACTCCAAGGCATCGGTTAGGGATTGTGGGGGTAACTTCTTCCAAGGGCGGTAGAAGATGGTGGTGGGTCTGGTGGAGGTGGGGAGGGGGGTGGAGGTGGTGAAGGAGATGAAGTAGTGGTCGGAGATGGCCTTGTCGGTAATAGTGACATCCGAGACACTGAGGCCCCGGGTGATCACCAAATCGAGTGGGTGGCCGTGACTGTGAGTGGGGGAGTTTATGTGTAGGGAAAGGTTGAGTGAGGAGAGCAGGGAAGAGAAGTCTGTGGAGATGGAGCAGGAGGGGGTGAAGTGTAGGTTAAAGTCGCCCAGGATGATGAGGCGATCGGAGCAGAGGCAAAGAGATGTGAGGAGTGTTGAAATGTCAGAGATGAAGGTGGGAGAGGTTTTAGGGGGCCGGTAGAGGAGGAGGATTTTAAGGGAGAGGAATGAGGGGTGGGAGAGGGTGAGGTGCTCGAAGGAGGGGAAAGAGCCAGTGGAGTAGGGGGATAGGGCAAGTGGTGTCCTTGAGATAAGGGCAACACCACCGCCACGGCGGTTGGGGCGGGGGATGTGGTGGGAGGTGTAGCCGGGTGGCGTGGCCTCCGTGAGGGGGAAGGTGTCGCCTGGGGTGAGCCACGTTTCTGTCAAGGCCATGATATCAACGTTCTCATCAAGGATGAGATCGTTGATGACCAGGGCCTTGTTGCAGAGGGAGCGGACATTTTGCAGTCCGATGTGGAGGGAGCGGTTGACAGAAGGGTGTGTGGGAGGGGAGGGGGGTCCAGGTTGTGAGGCAGGGGTGGGGGAGATGGGGATGAGGGAGGAGAGGTTGACTCCCCGGGTCTGTGTCCGGGGTGGCTGGCGAGAGTGGTGGGGAATGGGGCAGTCGGTGTGGCTGCTGCTGGACAGCCAACGCCGAGTGCCACGGTGAGCCCGGCGGAGGATTCCCAGACTGGAACAGAGGGAGGTTGTGGGAGGGTCAAGTGGGGATAGAAGACGAGAGGGACGGAGAGAGAGGAGGAGAGAGCGGGAGAGATGGAGAGGGGGGAGGGTTTTGGGGGAGAGAGGAGGGGGGAGGGAGGGAGGGGGTGAGGGGGCTCGGGTCAAAGCGGCAGCCATAGTGCGCACGCGGGGACCGGGAGCGAGCGGTCAGGTGGATGGCATTATCCCGCAGATTGGGGCATCGAACCCAACAGGACCATAGTGGGCTCTGATGTGAGCCCTGGGGGGGGGGGGGGGGGGGGGGCGCAGAGGGTTTTTTTTTTTTTTTTTGTGCGCGCGCACTCACCTGAAAACTAATCTATGACGTCGCAGTTCCCCCGCTCCGCCCCCTCCCCTCCCTAGCTGCACTCGCTCCGGCGTCGAGTTTAAGTACCTGGGTCAGTAGGCCCAGGCTCCTCCCCGCGCTGTCCTGCTGCCGCTCCCCGACTGGCTGCACTCGCTCCGGCGTCGAGTTTAAGTACCTGGGTCAGTAGGCCCAGGCTCCTCCCCGCGCTGTCCTGCCGCCGCTCCCCGACTGGCTGCACTCGCTCCGGCGTCGAGTTTAAGTACCTGGGTCAGTAGGCCCAGGCTCCTCCCCGCGCTGTCCTGCTGCCGCTCCCCGACTGGCTGCACTCGCTCCGGCGTCGAGTTTAAGTACCTGGGTCAGTAGGCCCAGGCTCCTCCCCGCGCTCTCCTGCCGCCGCTCCCCGACTGCGTGTACTATCTGGATTTCAGATAACATATCGAGTGTTAGAAAATTCTGTGAGAAATGCTAAAGTATATGAAACAGAATCACTTGGTGGAATCAATATTCCCAAATGTGACAGTGGCACTTTATATGGTTTTAACACTACCAATGTGAAGGTGAACACTCATTCTCAAAGATGAGTCTCATCAAAACCTCACTGAGACCCACAATGATCCAGGATAGATTGAATGCACTCGCACTCTAGTCTAACCAGCATGAATTGACATGCACACAAAATTTTGATCATATAATTGACATGTTTCCAACTATAAAGTCATGCAAGTCAGTATTTTAAAAAGGTATTGTTGCATATTTTGGGTAATAGTACAAAAAATGTAATCTGGTTTAGGACCCCCAGATCCCTTAATGTTGCCCTGGATTTGGGGAAAATTTGTGGCGTTTCGGGATCTTATTTTCACTTTGGGATGAGAATGCCATCCTTGGCACCGTGAATACTCACATTTCTTTTAGTGACACAAATTGAATTGTTGCCTAGAAAATTGTTAGTCTCTCCTTATATTCTTATAAGGAGAATTATCCTTATAAACAATTCTTGTTTAGTGGCTCTCTTACTTTGAAATGCAGTAATTTTTTGAACAAACAGCAGCTTGATCTGGTCCACAAACAGAAATGAGCAAAGTTAATTGTTTTTGGTGTATTTTGGATGAGGAAGGAATATTGACCAGGATACTGGGAGAACTTTAACCTTCACCTGAATCATCAAAATAAGTAGATGGGACTTCACTTGAACACCTCATCCAAAGGAGAACATCTCAAATAATTCAGCTCTTCCTTAGCACTCCAATGAAAGATGAGCCTAGGTTACAAGCTCAAACCATAGTGTTGTGGGAACCAATAACCCAAACCTCAGTTGTGGGAACCAATAACCTTCTCATCCAGAGCTTAGAATCTAACCAATTGAGCAAAATTGACAAATTTCACTGTGCAGTGTCCATTCAGTGTGGCTTCATAATAGAGTTCCCTGTTGTGTTCCCTTGCAAGTTGAACTTTCTGAATCTGTAACTATGAAATTATATGTAAAATTTAAAATGTGATTTCTCAAGGCATTAGATTCCCAGGTTTTTTTTTAATGAGGTCAATGGGTTAACTAAATAAATTGATAAGGAAATAAATAGTGGAGGGTTAGATAGGTTTGAGTTCCTAAAAGGTTTATTGCCAGTTAGTACTGTATTATTTGGGTAATGATGAATGTCTGCCTTGTAGCAGAGTATCTACTGCCAAAAAAAAAGTACATATTCATAGTTCTCCTGAGACTTGCCAAGTGTCAGTCATTAATCTTCCTTTCCTATTGTCTGTTCAACACCCTTTTTGGACAGTAATTGTTGAGCTGCCATTGCAATTGATGATATGCATAACATTGTCTCTATGGAGTCAGTCATAAGTTGTGTATTGAAAGAAAAGTAGCAAATTTCTCAGTGGGACACTCAGCATTCTGACTATACTCCTGTTCTATAACATATTGCCCAGCTATTAACATCTAAGGGGTGAAATAGTAAAGCAACCTTGCCGTTGGGTAAACCCACCACAAAGTCAGTACTTTGCTGAGCAATGGGAACGCACATGTCTAGATTTAAAGAAAGGCAATTGTAAGAATTTCCTAGATTTAAAGAAAGGCAATTGTAAGAAAGGTAAGAAAAAACTTACCTTTCAGTCAAAACCTTTTTTCCCTGTTGGCTTGTCACTTTGGGACGTCCTGCTATCGTGTAAGGCGCTATATAAATGCAATTTGTTGTTTTTTTGCTGTTCCCAGGTTTGAATTTAAATGGCAGCTTTGTTACAACATGGCTCAGTTGGTAGCACTCTTGCCTTTGAGTCAAAAGGTTGGCTTTAAGACCCACATTGGGACTTTGAACTCAAATAATCTAAACTCACACTACAATGCAGTGCTGGTGCTATGTTACATTGTTAGAGGTGCTATCCTTGGGATTAGATGTTAAACTGAGGTCCCGTCTGCCAGTTCAGGTGCATGTCAAAGATCCCATGGCATTATTCGAAAAAGGGGAGGGACAATCTCCAAGTCTCCTGGCCAACAATCCCCCTGATAAAATTGGTCCGTGACTTCATGGCTGTTTGCAAATTGACTGACCCATTCACCTTCAAAATATGCAAGTCACTACACTTCACAGTAAATCCTGTGAAACAAATTATGATACTTTCCTGACATGAAAGGCACTATTATCAAATGCAAGGACTGTTTGTAGCAGTAGCAAATCAAATTGGAATAGTTACAGGACAGAGCAAACCAGTAAGACTATTCCAGCTTCATTACGTGAGTGCAACCTCCTATTGTAATGAGGACTGGACTCCTGTGTGAACATGTTGTTTAATTGTTCAGCATGATGGTTAAGAGTTAATGCTGTCCTCTGAGAAATCAATTCGCTGTTTTCAACTTTATTCTCATCAATCAAGTTTTGTATTGCATTACATTAGCAACAAATTAATTAAGTGTAAGGACTATCATTAGTGTCTGTGAGAAATGGTCGTCTCATATGTTGTTGAGCACAGCATGGAGAAAGGTTAGCGTTCAGATCAATTATTGTTTGCCTTAGCACATTCATGCAAATGAAATCTGTGCAAATATGCCTAAGTGATTTTTTTTCCCCCACAGCTTCAGCATTCTCAGAGAGATACCTTGGATTACCATCAAGAGATGAACAGTATCGAGTGAGTTCCAAAATAGTATTGAGAGGTAGTACCTAAATACCAATTCAGTAATGGGATAGCAATCAATTATACTGTAAGTTAGACATTTCACATTTTTATAGCTAATTTCCTAGTTGTTCCTTTTTATGTCTGATAGGGTAATGCATTTAGATGTGATAATTATACCACTATGTAAAGAAGCCAAGAATATTGTGTCTGATAATGGAAACATGGACAAGTAAATCAACCCTTGATTCCTTACAGACATATAGAGTGCTCCACCAAGCTGAAGGAATGAAAGTAGACAATTTTCTGCTAATACATGGGACTGCTGATGGTAAGCCTTCCTGCACTGAATCTTGTATGTATAAGCATTGTTAACTTTCTAACTATAAGTAGATTATGTTTTCTGAACAGTCCTTCATGATGGTAATATTGTATTATAGGTAGCTTGTGTTTGTTTTTAACTGAATATTATATTTGGGCTTTATTAATGAAACTTAGAGTTACTAACAAACTAAACTAACAAAGAAATAAAATATGGTCAATGGTTAATAAGTGAACAACCTATTGGAATTGCAATGTAAAATATTACTGAACTCCTGTTGTTCCCCAGTATTTCTTATATTCCTTTAAACTTTACTGGAATATTTTCCAAATATATAAATGGTTTCATATGATTCTAATTCATTGTATCCTGGTAACTCACAGAAATAAATGACTCATGCAGTTTATACGAACACAATTGGATACTTGGGCTGTATGCATCATGAACGAGCAAAAACCTAACAAAACTTTGATATTAAAATAATTTTGTTGGAGTAAAAGAGGCCTTTAAGAATTGCGGGTAGCCTAAAGTGTGTACATCGGTCAGAATGCTTTTGTTGTCAGAGTGCAGTTCATCTTTCTTCTTGGTATCGAAACCCAAATCTCAAGCTCAGAATGATATTGATGATTTAGTAAAACCTGGTACTGATCATGCTCTTACAATGAAGGGATAAGTAAAACCTAATAAAAGCTAGTTACAAAACAGTTTGATGTTTAAGAGACTGTCAATAGCTGGATTTATTATAAGAATCTGCTTTTATTGTTTGCATTAACCTTGAAGTTCCAGGTACGTGTTAAGTCCTTGCTTTTCTTGAGTGACACATGGTATATTTCATCTTCCACAATTGTCCTGCTAAGCAAAATTCACACTTCACAGTGTAAAACACAACCATAGAATCAACCATTACCATCAAGCATAGGCCCTCTATTGCCCAGTTTACATTGGGAATTGCAGGTTAGAGAAAATACAATATTCTTTTGAGAGCAGACTTTCAACTATCAGTATTACTACAGAATTTTGCAGAATAATGTTTATGTCAAGAGTAGTTTGGAGACCCTGTGTGCAGGTTCTTAGGAAGGTTTGAATATTTTGTATTTTTTCTAAAATTCAAGGAATACCTTTATATGACTAGGAATAACTTTATTTCAGGAGTCAGAGAGAACGCGTGGAAGTCCATAATAGGGTAGGATTTACAGTTTGTGGAAGGAGGAGACTGGACCAAATACAAAGATTTATAAAGAATGTACGGCATGGAAAACAGGCCACTTGGTTTCTTTTTTGCCTCGCTCCCTCCCTTGCCTCCTTCAAGGCCTCAAGACCCTCCTCTTCGTCAATGCTTCACCCACCTTCCTACCCTCTCTGCCCTCCAACCACCCTGATCCCAACCCACTCAGGTCCTAATCCCTGACTGTTCAGTGCCTTGGGACGTCCTCCCAGCATGAAAGACACTTTACAGATGTTATTTTGAATTGTATTCCTGCCTTATAACAAATTGTACAGTGTGCCAGGTGGCCTCTGTGTAGATCCTTGTCAGTGTCATGCAAGTTACCTCTGAGTGAAACTCCACTAAATGAGAGTTAACATAACAACAGGTAATCCCAATATTTTATAGTCCAACAATGGGATGCTTTAATCAATGCCCTTCACACTACCAGACAGCTGACTTCTGCAGTAACCTCTTTGTGTTTCTCCTTCCATTCTTGAATTTAACAAACACTCAAGATGCACTGTATAGAAAACTCAACAGTGTTTTATTGGTCCTTGCAACCCAATGCATCACTTACACCATCTGGAACAAGATAAATAATCACAATATTAAGAAATAGAAAACCCCCGACACCATAACTGTAACACGAGAAGCTTTACCCAACGGTAGTGGACAATGAAAAAAATCTTGACCTGAAGACAAGGTTCTCAGGACAGGCACATACCTCCTTGATGACACTAAAGGCAAAGAATGACCTCAAGCTTAACAAGCCCCTCCTTTTATATTTTTCTAATTCCTCCCCTTTCCAATGTATCTCTCGATACCTTTTCCCTCCATTTCCAATCTCCTCCACTTCCAATGTATCACTTGGTTCCCGCTCCTGCCTTTTCTGTTGCAACACTCACCCAGGTCACAGACTTTGTGTCGTCAAGGCTGTACTGCTTTAAAATTATATTCTAATCTCTAGATCAGAACTGTGCTTAAAGTGAAAGTGTTTTATTTTACACAAACTCTATGTACACAGCCTATCTACAGCAAATATCATTAGAAAGAAGTGGAGCATTAATTAACACAAGGTGACCATGGCAGTCTCCACCCATTCCTTGCTCCCTCCCATACCCTTCTATTCCCCTCTCCCTCCTATGAATGTCTAGCTTCCTCTTGAATGGAGCTACACTATCTGACTTAACCACCACTTTGAGTGCAAGTTCCACAACCTCACTACCATCTGCGTGAAGAGTGGTAGCTATTTTCTATGTTTTTTTTTATATCATGCTTATTTTGTCGTTAAACTTGGAGAATTGAACTATAAATGAGGAAATTATATTTCGCTTTTTTACTCTTATTTGGGCAGGAAGAGACGTATTAAGTCTGTAAGATTAGCAGCAAGCAGCAGGTTGATGTGTTCCATTACTATCTTAAAAATTATGCTATGCAGAGTTAATAAAGTGATGAACTTATTCCCAGCGCTACTGATTGATGCCTGAGTCAATTCAGCTGTACACATTCACATCATTTGTTTTGAAGAAATTTTGAAAATGTGCAAAAGTATTGTATACTTTTGTAATAGACAAAATAGTTTGATATTTCTATTAGTCAAATATTAAGGTAGAGATTTGCCAGAAATCAAAGAGATGTTCAATCTCAAACCAATTATTATGTATAGGACAAAAGTGACCGTAAATTCTACAATAATAATAATCTTTGCATTTGATACAGCGCCTTATCACGTCTTCGAGACATCTTAAAGTGCTTCACAGAAAATACTGTGAAGTGAAATGACTATGTATTCTGTGGGCAAAACGCTGCAACTAATTGCGCACAGCAGTGTCCCATAAACAATCGTGGATTGAAATGATCAATTTTTTTTNAAAGGAATTTTTACCCCCAGAAAAGCAATCCACCAATTGACTAACAACCGGTTCCTACTTACTGCTAGGTAAACAGGGGTGTGTGGAGTAAGGAAACTTGCCCAACATTTCACTCTGCTGGAAATCGAACCCAGGTCTCTCGCTTGCGAGGCAAATGCTCTTACCACTGAGCTACAGGACTCCACTATATATCCCATGCCCCAAATTTCTCCCAACCTCTGGAAAATGCTCCTTCTGCCCTTCAATCTCACCCCTTCTCTAAGTCCCACCTTAAAACCTACTTCTATAATCACGACTGGGGTCACCACCTCCTTCCCCTCTCTCTTGCTCAGTGTCCGATCCCATCTTTGTAAATTATCCAAGATGCGATCCTACATGAAGGGTGCTAAATACAGGTTGTTGCATAATTACAGTTACAGGCCATTGGAAATGGAAAAATACCAATACCAGATTGTTTTATTTTAGTAATTAATCTTGAGCTTTAACCACTGATTTTTTCTGAGCCTTAAGGAATAGTTAATTTAAACCTATTACATTACCTTCAGATTCAAACAAACCTCTAAGGTTAAGCAAAAGAATGCCACATATATTACTAATCACTTCTGTGTACCATACTCCTTATCAAATATCCAGTAACACATTAAACCAGAGTCTAGTTCAATTATTATTATATTAAATTATTGATGATGTAGAAAACATTTGAAGGTAATGTAACATAATTTACACACAATACAGTCACCCACAAGGGACACATATCAAGTTCCAAGGAATAGTTTCACTAATAGAACCTGGATGATGACTTCTCAATACCCATAGAAAACATTTTATAGGTCCCTGTAGTGATGTGCATTATCCTGTTTCTAAAATGATTCAACTGCTAGAAAATTAGTTTGTCCCTATAGAAATTCAGACCACACTTTATAATGGTTGGTGTTAGTTCAAATGTTGATGTTGAATATAGTAACTTTAGTCTACAATGTTCCCTTTGAGAGCCAAGTCAAAACCAACATTATGTTAAGTAGCATCTTAGGAATAGGATGTGTTTTTATAAATTATTAATCACAGAGCCATAAACAATGCACAGTGTATCAAATAGCGTTATTTTGTAAAACCAGGAGTTATTTATTGTTTTATTAAAAACTGGAATAAAGTACACCATATACAGGACAGGTTAAACGTTTGTAACTCTTTTATAATGACTTGAATAAGAACAATTTCCTTTTAGAATGTTCTGAGAATTCAGAAATAAGAATGGTGAAGGTTACAGATAGAAATATATTTTATCTTGTAGCTTAGTGGTTAGAGCACTCGCCTCGCAAGCGAGAGGACGTTTGTTCGATTCCCAGCAAGGCGAAATGTTGGGCAAGTTTCCTTACTCCAAACGCCTCTATTTACCTAGCAGTAAGTAGGAACCAGTTGTTAGTGAATTGGTGGATTTAAGACGTCTCGAAGATGTGATGAAGTGCTATATCAAATGCAAGGATTATTATTGTTTTAAAATACCATTTTCTTCAGGCTGGCTTCATGTGAATTATCATGGTCACCTTAAATCAGTAATTACAACTCTGTCTCTTCCCGCACCTATGTGTAATGGTTCCCCAACCCCCCTCCCCCTCCTTTCCACACACAGGATGAATATGTACTGGATTGTTACTTCTGCAAGATATTGCATTTCAGTTAACTGATTGAGCAAAAATACAACTGAGGAAGTCAACTTCAAGTGATAGGCAACTGAATTTTACAATGTGGTATTCATATAGATACTTATATCAACTGACAACAATGACAACAATCTGCCCCTAACACAGGGTTGTGTCCCAGGGCGCTTGACAGTGGCAGAGCACGATGCCGAGCTGGGGGGAGGGGGAGGTGACCGTAGGCACGGTCAAATAGGAAGGTCTTCAGGCATGACCTGAAGGAAGGGGCAAAGCGGAGGGATAGTGTGCTCCAGAGTTTCGGGCTATAGTGGCTTAAAGTGTGGCCACCAACGTGGAATGGAGGGCATGAGGGATATGCAGAAGACTGGAGCCAGTTGAGCAGAGGCAGCAGGTTGTGGGTTGGGGGGTAAACAGGTCAGAGAAGTAGGGAAGTGCCAGGACTTGAGGGGATTTGAAAACAAGTGTGAGCATCTTGTCACATTATACCTATACGAACAGTGAGTTGTTCATATAGGCATTTGTTGATATGTGTCTTTATGTGAGATTACCCTATTCATGGTGAGAAAGGTAACAATGATGACTTAAAACTTCGCTTTCTGAGTTATAGCTTTCTTTGAAGATGAAGTGACTGAGGAAGATTGATTATTCACTATTGTTGAAAAGAAAAATGATTCTGCCTTGAAAAATACCAAAAGATTTCTCATGTTTTCCTTTGTTATTTTATTGCTGCTATGTGAAGAACTTAGAGTAGGTTAAGTGTTCATTTAGGTACCAGCACTCAGTGGAATTATTTCTAGCACACATTGTGAATCATGTATTGTCTTTGGTTGACTATATGAGTGTGGTAATTTCATGATTCATGAATTTACACCCATTTAAAGGAGTCTGATGAGGTTTTGCCTTGATGAACAGCTAATAAACCCAAGTTCTTCTTCCCACTGCTCTTATTACTTTTTTCAGCCGATGTACATTTTCAACACACAGCGGAGTTGATTCAACACCTGATGAAAACTGAAGCAAACTACACTTTGCAGGTATCTGATTTTCCCTGGTTACCCAGTGATGGGGGGGGGGGGGGGTGGAGAAAGAATCAGGGGATGGAATTGGCATAGATAGCTCCATTTTGAAATTTCGTACCAGCACCTAAATGTTGATGTGAATGACTTCCTTTGGTGCTGTAAACATGTGTAATATTATACAGATTCGTAGGAAGGTGTTTAAGCAATTTAACAGACTAATGTTTTGGAACAGTGATTCTTATAAGCAGATCCCAAAACTAGTATACACCAAACTGCTGATTCTTCAAGCAGATCCACTATAGGATACCTATCCACTATACCTATTTCTTGCTGTAAAGTTCAAAGTGCTAATCCTGAGATGCACAGGCAGCCCACTGCATGTGAGCATAGTGCACATGAGCACTTTTCATTTTGGAGCAGGGAAATGCCAACTGTGGAAGGGAAATGAGGATAGAATTTTTCAGCTCTTGAACTGAACCGAGCATCACTGTAGGCATTGCAAAGCAGTAGAGTCCTTTCAGCTGGATAAGAGAAAATAATTATCAGGATCACTCCTGCCCCTGGGAAACACTAGTGGGATATTCCGATTCTCCTTTGGAATAGGACATAGAGTCCACAACTGGCAAATAGAAACTGGTTCTCCAAGCTCTCTACAGCTAAAGTTGGAGATTCTTAAGGAGGGCAAGGGGTTTTCACATGTCATTCTCTTGATTAGCACGTCCCACTTTCCCCCCGAACAAAGAGAAAAAAAACATTTCTCAGCCAATCACAGACTCAGTCAGAGTGAGATTCTTGGTCAAAAGCGAAATGTGAAATTAAATATTGCATGAAAGAATCAGATACACAAAATTAACAAACACTAAAAAGAAGAGAGAGGGTAATAGTGGATAGGACAAATTATCAGTAATAGGAGAGGGCAAACAATTGACAAGAGCAGAATCCAGGTCATATTCAGATATGTCACAAATAACTCAAAAAGTAAATAAACCACATATAAATCAATGAATTAGGTGTAATGCAGGAAGAAAATAACCGAAGTGTTGATCTCGGTAATTGATAAGCTTCTCACAGATTCAAATATTGTGAATCGCAGTCCAAAATCAAACCATGAGGCCTTTTATTCAGCTCAGGACATTTCCAGCAATCAACTGTATCCTATCCAAACCTTTGTAAGATTATTCTGAGCAAGTAAATTTGAGCAGAGAGCCCAGCAGTGTAAGGAGGGAACTGAGTGAGAATTATTTTAAGGAATATGGTGAGAGTGGGAATTCTTCAGCAAGAGAAATACCAGAGAGGAAGAGAGAACCCTTTCATTCAGCAGAAAAGTGGGAAATCTATCTTGAGGTAGAGGAAACCTTATATATAAGCAGGCAAACAAGTCAATTAGCAGTCAATCATAGGCCAGGTGTTGGGCATTAAAATATCTGCTGACCAGTCACAATTGGGTGCTTTTGTTTGAGTCCTATACTTGCAAGAACTTCACTTGAGCAGAGAGCCTAGCAGTGTGAGGAGGGAACTGAATGAAATGGAACAGAGTAAGAATTCTGTTAGGGAATTTGGTGAGAGTGGGAATTCAGTGCAGAGGGTGAAAGAGGTACATAGTTATAAAATAGCTATATTAAAATAATAAAAACATGTCTGGGAATATGGCAGGGAAGCTGAGACCGGTTGCTTGCACAATACATGCCATGTGGGAACTCCGTGATGCTTTGTTTGCCCTGGACAAACACGTGTGTAGGATGTGCCTCCGGCTGCTTGAGGTCAGAGTTTCTGAGCTTCAGGAGAGGCTGGTGTCACTACATAGCATACGAGATGCTGAAGAATTCATGGATCAAATGTTTCAGGAGGGTTTGGGCAGTACAGAAATCCCCTGAGAGTGTGGTACTCACAAACTGGTTCTTGTACTGAATACCGATCAGGGTGATGACACCTCTGGGGAGGGGAGTCAAAAGCAAATGGATGCACAGGGGAACACAGGGAAGAGTGTCAATGCAATTGTCATTGGGGACACAATGGTGAAAGGAGTAGACAGGCGTTTCTGCAACCAAAGATGTGATTCGCATGTTATGTTGCCTCCCTGGTGCCGGGGTTAAAGACATCACAAAACATTCTACAGGGGGAAGGGGAACATCCAGAAGTCGTGGTCCATGTTGAGATTCATGATGTAAGGAAAAAAGGGGCTGAGGTCCTTCAGGGAGAGTATCAGAAGCTAAGGAAAAAGTTAATGAGTAGGACCTCAAAGGTGTTGACCTTTGGATTACTCCCAGTGGCTCGTGCAAGTGAGTATCAAAACAGCAGGATCAAACACATGAATGCATGGCTGGAGAAATGGTGCAGAAAGGAGGGCTTTGGGTTCCTGGATCATTGGGACCAGTTCTGGGGCAGGTGGGACATGTACAAGGTGAATGGGTACAAGATGAACAGGGCTGAGACCAATGTCCTCGCAGGGAGGTTAACTAGTGCTGTGGGGAAGGGTTTAAACTAATTTTGAGGAGAGAAAGGAATCAGGATGTAGCATTAGAGAGGGCAAACAAGTTACATAGAGGGCTGGGATAGATGAAAAGCAATGTAATAAGGAGTAATCCAGAAAAAGGAGGGATTAGACAGGGGAGAAATGCAGAAAAGAATAAGTCTTGGAGAGCATGTGTGTAAATGCAAGGAGTGTGACAACTAAGATTGGTGAGCTGCGGCTCAAGTTGCCACATGGGGTTATGATGTAGTGGCAATAACAGAGACGTGGCTCAAACAAGGGCAGGAATGTAAGCTGAATATTCAATGTTTTCAGGAAGGATGGGGAAGGAAAAAAAGGAGGTGAAAGTGGCAATATTGATTAAAGACATGGTTATGGCCCTAGAAAGGGACGATGTGTTAGAGGGTCCAAAAACAGAATCTATTTGGTTAGAGTTAAGGAACAGAAAAGGAGCTGTTACTTTGTTAGGTGTATACTATCGACCACCAAATAATGGGAAGGAGATAGACGAGCAAATCTACAAGCAGACTTCAGAAAGACGTAAAACCAATAGAGATGATGGGGGATTTCAATTATCCTAACATAGACTGGGAAAATAACAGTGTAAAGGACAAGGAGGGGGAAGGATTCCTGAAATGTGTGCAGGATAACTTTCTGGATCAGTATGTTTCCAGCTCAACGAGAAAGGAAGCAGTGCTGGATCTACTTCTGGGGCATGAAGTGGGGCAAGTGGAGCAGGTTTCAGTCAGAGAGCATCTGGACAACAGTGATCACAACATCATTAGGTTTAAAGTACTTATGGAAAGGGACAAGGAACAATCAAAGGTGAAGATGCTTAACTGGAAGAGGGCTAATTTCAATGAGTTATAAAGGGACTCTCACTCTGACTGAGTCTGTGATTGGTTGAGAAATGTAAGCCCAAGGTGGACTGGAAAGAAAGATTGGCAGGTAAAACAACTAATGAGCAATGAGAAGCCTTCAAGGAGGAGATAGTTCGGGGCGGAACAAATACATTCCCACAAAGGGGAAAGGTGGGCATCCAAACCTCCCTGGATGAATAAGGAAATTGGGATTAAAATAAAACAGAAAAAGGAGGCTTATGATAAATATTAGGTCCAAAATACAAGAAGAAGATTATATTTGTATAGCGCCTTTCACATCGGGAGGACGTCCCAAGGCGTTTATCGAATAGAATATAGAAAGTACAGAGGAGAAATGAAAAAGGAAATAAGAGGGGCAAGACGATTGTATGAGAAAAAATTAGCAGGTAACATAAAAGGGAATCCTAAGGTATTTTATAAGCATATAAATAATAAAAGGTTAGTCAAATGTAGGGTGGGTCCAATTAGGGACCAACGAGGAAATCATCTTGTGGAGGCAAAGGGTATGGCTGACATACTGAATGAGTAATAATAATAATAATAATAATAATCCTTGCATTTGATATAGCGCTTTTCACGTCGGGAGGACGTCCCAAAGCGCTTCACAGAACACATTGTAAAGTGAATTGACTGGATATTTGTGGGCGAACGCGGCAGCCAATTGCGCACAGCAATGTCCCACAAACAGTCGTAGATTGAAAATGACCAATTTAATTATTGTTTTGGGTTTTTTGGAGGGATTATTATTAGGCGTGTGGAGTAAGGAAACTTGCCCAAGGTTTCGCCCTGCCTGGAATTGAACTCAGATCTCTCACTTGCAAAGCGAGTGCTCTAACCACTGAGCTACAGGACTCCACAAGTATTTTGCCTTCACAAAAGAAGAGGATGTAGCCAATGCCTCAGTATCGGAGAATAGGGTAGAGAAATTGGATAAGATAAGAATAAACCGAGAGGAGGTACTAAAAAGGTTGTTGGTGTTCAAGGTAGATAAGTCACCTGGTCCGGACGGGATGCATCCTAGGTTACTGAGGGAAGTAAAGGTGAAAATAATGGAGGCTCTGGCCACAATCTTTCGATTCTCCTTGGACAATGGGGTAGGGCCAGAGGACTGGAGGGTTGCAACTATTACTCGCCTGTACAAAAAGGGCCAGAAGGATAAACCCAGGAACTACAGGCCAGTCAGCCTAACATCAGTAGTGGGGAAACTTCTAGAGACTATAATCCGGGACAAAATTAATTTTCGTTTAGAAAAATATGGGTTAATAAAGGACAGCCAACACGGATTCGTTAAAGGCCAGTCATGTCTAACAAACCTGATAGTTTTTTGATGAAGTAACAGAGAGGGTGGATGAAGATAGTGCAGTTGATGTAGTTTATATGGATTTTCAAAAGGCTTTTGATAAAGTGTCACATAAGAGACTTGTAAGCAAAATAAAAGCCCATGGTATTAAAGGGACAGTGGCAGCGGATACAGAACTGACTGGGAGACAGAAAGCAGAGAGTGGTGGTGAACGGTTGTTTTCTGACTGGAGGGAAGTGTGCAGTGGTGTCCCTCAGGGGTCAGTATTGCAACCACTACTGTTTTTCATCTATATAAATGACCTGGACTTGGGTATAGGGTGTATAATTTCCAAGTTTGCAGATGATACTAAGCTAGGAAGAGTAGTAAACAGTGAGGAGGATAGTAGCAGACTGCAAATGGACATAGACAGACTGGTACAATGGGCAGACAGGTGGCAGATGAAGTTTAATGTGGAGAAATGCGAAGTGATGCATTTTGGGAGGAAGAATGAGGAGAGGCGATGTAAGCTGATGGTACAATCTTCAAGGGGGTGAAGGAACAGAGAGACCTGGGGCTTCATATAAATCCTTGAAGGTGGCAGCTGTTAAAGTATACGGGATACTAGACTTTATAAATAGGGGCATATATCAGGAAGGTATGATGAACCTTTATAAAACATTGGTTAGGCCTCAGCTAGAGACTGTATTCAGTTCTGGGCACCATACTTTACGAAGGATGTCAAGGCATTGGAGAGGGCGCAAAGGAGATTTACCAGGATGGCACCAGGAATGAGGGACTTCATTTATCAGGAGAGGCGAGAGAAGCTAGGGTTATTCTCCTTGGAGCAGAGAAGGTTAAGAGGAGACTTAATAGAAGTTTTCAAATATATGAGGGGATTTGATACAGTGAACAAGGAGAAACTATTTCCACTGTTGGCAGGTGCAGCAAGCAGATTGGCGGGCAGCAGATTCCACTTCTCGGTGGAAGCCGATTCCATAACAACTTTTAAGAGAGAAGTAGATAATTATATGGGGAGGACAAGTTTGCAGGGCTATGGGGAGAGAGCGGGGGAGTGAGATTGATTTTGATAGTTCTTTTCAAAGAGTCGGCACAGACACAATGGGCTGAATGGCCTCCTTCTGTGCTGTATGATTCTATGATCTGAACATAATTAGGAAACCTCTTTTTGAGGATTTGTTTTGAAGGAACCTCCAGAAGCTCAATGAAAATCTAATTTGAGATGATACTTTCCTCATTACTTTTACCTCTGGGACCAATGTTTGAAATGAAAGTGTGCTTGGATTGATAACATGAATAATCCTAAATAAATTGAACAGTCTGTATCTATTTTCCAGTGGCTAGGAGCAACAGTGCAAAATAGCCTTTGGTATTAATTTGTCAGCTTTACCCTTAGATCTATCAAAATAGAAAGTCAGAAACAAAATCCTAAATTATTCAACTGCTCCAGTAAAAAGTGGTCTGCCCTTTGGGTGAGGTAGATACAGAAAGAAATCTGTGATCCAATTGAGCATTGTCATAGATGCGTATTTGGTGTTATGTAGTAACAATTCTTAGCTCTCATTTTAATCAATCGAAAGGGAATTTTTTTGGTTATTTTTACACAATACCTTAAAGCAAGTAGGATGCTGGTATACATTGCCAAATTAGTTGAGTTCATCTCCCCAGAAGTCATACTCGAGCTGTAAGGTGCTTTGCTCAGGCTGGAGCTGCAGTAATGCATATTGTTCTGGTCTCCATATCATTCTCTCACAATGACAGAGGACAGCAATGAAGTTTCCCCAGTGTTGGAACAACGAGCTATGTGCAACGATTGGACATCAATCTTGAAAAGATTTTTTCAGTGGGCACTTATAAAGGAATAAAAGATTTCAAATGGGATTAAGAACATGAGCCCAGAATAATACTGTTGGAAGTGCTGATAAGGTAGAACAAGAGGATATAGGTTTAGGAATGCAGAAGGCAATTTCAGGACACCTGGAAGTATTTCTTTACAAAGAAGATAATTAACAACTGAAAGAGGTTACAAAAAAGGACGGTTTGGGCAAAGATGTTGGACTCATTTAAAAGAACAGTTTGATATTGTAAAAGGAGGACAACAGGGTAGATATTTTGGAAAGATGAAGTCAAATGGCCAAAGGGTCTCCTCCATCTGAACCTCATGTGATCTTATGATCATAATTGTTACTACAAGCATTGACACTGTAGTCATGGAATGAGAGTCAGTATAAGAAAATTTGTCTTACTGCTAATTGTAAACAAAACAGAAAATTGGCATGTATGTGTCTTAAAATACCTATAACATGTAATTTAACAGCATATTTATAATGTCCTCTTGAATTTATTGACACAATCTGCCTTCATTACCTTTTGAGAAACTTACACATATGTTCACTTTCCTTTTTGTGAGCTTGAGTCTGAGTCCTTTAGATTTATGTTAAATATTATTGGGACATTGAATACTTCAATGAGGTCTCCATTGAGCTCTCCCTTCTCCAGTATGAATATTCCCTTATTTTGTGACTTGGGTGATCAAATTCTTTTCCTTCAATGTACCTTCTTAAATGCCAACATGTCTTTACTATAATATGGCAACCAGAATCGGATACAGTGAGGTTAGATCAGCACTCTTCAGCATTATTTTCTGAGATTTAAACTCTAAACGTTTATCTCTACACCCCCAAGATCTTGTTTGCTTTCTTTACTCCTGCAGTATACTGTGCTGATGGTTTCAGCAATGTATTCACCAATAACTCCCCAAAATCCTCTCCTATGTCATATTCTGCAGATCATTACTAATCATGAGCAAGCTCATGGAGTGGTAGTGTAATATGCTGCAGTGGTGTAGCACTGCAGTTAGTAAACTGCAGTGGTGATGGGTTCAAGTTCCAGAAGTGGTTGCTTGGTTGGTCCACCTGATAATGAGATTCATTAGTTATAATGTAAGATGAGGCCCTACTTCCCTTTGCTCCTTTATGTCCTGTAGACTTCTTGTCAGATGAGCCACACACTTTATTTGTGTTAGAATCCAATCCCTTTATTTGTGTTAGAATTGGTGAATGGCCAATTTCAACCTCTTACTAGCAGCAAAGGACACTGTATGTAAAGCAGCTCTCGGGCAAGGGGAAAGAATAGCACAAGCTGGATGAGAGGCACTCCGAAGTAAAAGGCTGGGTCACTGTGGATTCCATTTAAAATGTCAATATCTTGTCTTATCTTTTTGTCTTAGTACAGTTGCAGTTCTGGTCTTTTACTTACTGTGCCCATGTCTTGTGAACATCTATCTTACGCATGCGCTAAAGTTAGTGTATCATCACAACAGCTGCTACTACCCCTGTAATAATAGTGCTATTTACATAGACGTAAGACTTCACATTTTAAATGTATATAAAATTACTGAGAACTGTCAAAGCTATTCCATAAATTAATAACTGCCAATGAGTTCTACAGTGATCTTATTTCAATTATTAATTTATGCTTTATAATAGAAATTCAGGAAATGACTTGCTAATCTGTTTTATTTGTGACAGATATACCCAGATGAAGGCCATTTTATTACGTCAGACAAAAGCAAGCACCATATGTACAGTTCAATCCTCAATTTTTTCAGAGAGTGCTTCAAGCTAGATGTATCTGTATTACAGAAAGAGCCAGAAGATGATGATTAGAATGAAAAACTATTAAAAAAATAAACATAAGGATACTCAATCTTGATAAAGACAAAGCTAGTAGTCTGGAACCCTCAGAACCCAGCATTAGACACCACTATTTGTGGAAGAAGTACCAGGGCAGCTACAACAAAATCTACAGGAACAGCACATTTGAGATTATGAATCTGAAGACTGGCAACGAGGACTGAGAATTCATTAGCCAGCAACATGATTCTTTTCAAAGGAACAGTACATCTGTTTTGAAATTATGTCGGCCTGTTAGTACTTTACAAAGAAAATCCAGTTGTGCATATGATCACCTACACTGCTTTGTGCATGTGTGTTTTATTTGGCTTCTCTATTGTATAAGTTAATACTTGTTGAAATATGAAGACATTCAAAGTGCGTGCACTTTTTAATTTTTTATTGTCATTTGCACAAAAAAATGACATTTTATGATGTATGTCTTTTATGTCAGAATTTGAGCATTCTGTGATTTATATGTATGTGATTTTTATATATATATAATATATATATAAATAAACACTCCACCTTCCCTCACAACCCATTATATTACATTAATTAAATAAATGGAATTTGTACAATTCTCTTCAAAGGCAGAATGTCTTTGCTAACCTGTGTTATTGTCTAATATTGTATAGCATATTATATTGACACCGGTTGATGCCATTTACCAATCTATCCTCATCCACCGCCTATCCTCTCACCTCAACCTTCACGGCTCTGTGCTTGACTGGTTCAGATCGTACCTCCACTTCATCTCCACAAATGGTTTCTCCTCTAGCCCCCGAACCGTCTCATGCAGCGTTGCTCAGGGCTCTGTCCTTGGTCTCCTCTTCTTCAATATCTACATGCTCCCTCTTGGTGACAACATCCATAGACATGGGGCCAACTTTCACATGTATGCAGATGACACTCAACTGTACCTCTCTGCCTCCATCTTCGACTCCAGGACCACTGCTGTTCTGACAGAATGTCTGTCAGACATCAAGTCCTGGATGAGAGCTAACTTTCTACAATTCAACATCAACAAGACCGAGGCTCTACTGATTGGCTCCTGTCAGCGCCTCCACACCTCAGACGCTGATAGCATCACCATCTATGGATAATAATAATAATAATCCTTGCATTTGATATAGCGCTTTTCACATCTTCTAGATGTCGCAAAGCGCTTCACAGAATATACTGTAAAATGAATTGACTGTATATTTGTGGGCGAACGCAGCAGCCAATTGCACACAGCAATGTCCCACAAACAGTCATGGATTGAAAATGACCAATTTATTATTGGTTTTTTTTGGAGGGATTATTATTAGGTGTGTGGAGTAAGGAAACTTGCCCAAGGTTTCGCCCTCTGCCTGGAATTGAACTCGGGTCTCTCACTTGCAAAGCAAGTGCTCTAACCACTGAGCTACAGGATGCACACTCCACCTCACTAAGCCAGTCTAGAACCTTGGGGTCTTGTTTGATCCTCAACTATCCTATCTTCCCCACATCCATGCCATGACCCACTCTGCCTTCCCCCACATCCGCAACATCGCCCAGCTCCGCCACTGTCTCACACCGCAGGCTGCCAAAACCCTTATACATGCTTGACTATGCAAACTCCTTGCTTGTCGACTTCCCCAACTCCTCCCTCCATAGACTGCAGATAATCCAAAACTCTGCAGCGTGTCCTCTCCCTCACCAGGTTCCACTACTACCCCATCCTCGCCCAACTCCACTGGCTTCCCATCACACAGAGGATACAGTTCAAGATCCTGGTCCTCATCTTCAAAGCCCTCCGTGGTCTTGCTCCCCCCTACCTCTGTGATCTCCTAACCCCCTGCCATCCTGCCTGCTCCCTCTGCTCATCGGGCTCTGGGCTGCTTCACGTCCCCCACTTGGCCCGCCACTCTGCCCCCATCCTTTGGAACTCCATCACGCAGTTCTTCCGCTGCGCCCCCTCCTTTGCCTCCCTCAAGACCCTCCTCTTCAACCCTGCTTCCACCCACTGCCATCCAGCCTCATCAATCCCGACCCCCAGCTCGGGTCTGTCGTCCAGCACCTTGGGATGTCCTCCTGACGTGAAAACCACTATACAAATGTAATTTTGGTGGTGGTGTACATTCATTTAAGTACCCCAAATCTTCCTTTGATAATATATTATTTCCAATTGACGTTATAATGCTTCACAGCCTAGAAATGATCAGGCATTCAGCATCTGAGGAAAACCTGGGACATAATAGACCTTCAATTGGCAAATTGCCATGGACCCAAATAGAAACATTGGATCTGTGGCAATGAATCTCTTCTCATGAACAAGGTTAATACAGTTCACGGTTACATTTCCTACTCTGTTTATAATGCAAAAATAATTAATTATACCTTGAAAGCCTTTTTCATTTTGATTGTCCCAAAGGGAAAGAAACCAGACATTTCAAACGATGAATTATTAACATCTAATCTACTGTAAATTATTGAAATCTCTTCCTCACCTAAGTAGTATTAAGGCTAAGCAGGGTCACATTGCTGAAAGTGCATAAGGTTTGCACCATTTAGAGGCACTTTCATTGAAAGTTACAAACCAAAACTGCATAATTTGGTTAGTGACTGAAAACATATGTCTTGACAGAATAACATCATATGTAACTAGAGAGAAAATAATTCTTAAGGGATCCTGTTGCATCATATTTCATATAACCAGATCTGAAAATAAATTTACAAATTATATTTTTTTTATCCATAAGTCTGCAGATTAGCAGGTGAACTTGTGCCCAGATATGGATAGCCAAGACAAATTGTTTGCAATAAATTGTTTCTTGGGGAAACTATTTCCACTGGAGGGTGGGTTGGTAACCCAAGGGCACCAATTTAAAATAGTTGTTCAAACAGAGGGGAGGTGAATAGAAATTTTTTCACACTGGGAGTTGTTTGGATCTGGAATGCATTGCCTGAAAGGGTGATGGAAGCTGATTCGATAACAACTTTTAAGAGAGAAGTAGATAATTATTTGGGGAGGACAAGTTGTGCAGGGCTATGGGGAGAGAGCGAGGAGTGGGATTGATTTGGATAGCTCTTTTCAAACAGCTGGCACGGACACGATGGGCCGAATGGCCTTCTTCCGTGCTGTATAGTTCTATGATTCTCTTAAACAGTACAAGCATGCCACCGTGTGGCCAGCTGCTAAATTACTATATTTTTGAACTCAGAACATCTCACGAACCCAAAAGATCCCAGATTTGATCCCCCAGTCTGTACTGCAAGATGAACTCAGTGGGAGTGTTGTAATTCATCCCAACACTTAAACCTTCAAGTCCCAAGTCAATTGCTCATTCAGCTGAGATACAGGGAGTTAAGAGACATTTTCCTAAGGATGTGGCTTTTCTACCCTACTTGTGGAGTCTTGTAGCTGAGTGGTTAGAGCACTCGAAGAGACCTAGGTTCTATTCCTGGTGAGGTAAAATGTTGGGCAAGTTTCCTTACTCCACACGCCTCTGTTTATCTAGCAGTAAGTAGGAACCTAGTTGTTAGTCGATTGGAAGATTGCTTTTCCGGGGATAATAATCCTACAAATAAAAAAACAATAATAATTTGGTCACTCAAACCACGACTGTTTGTGGGACACTGCTGTGCACAAATTGGCTGCCGCATTTCACCCGCAAATATACAGTCAATTCACTTTACAGTATATTCTTTGAAGCGCTTTGAGACGTCTAGAAGATGTGAAAAGCACTGTATCAAATGCAAGGATTATTATTATTATTATTTACTACTTTTGTATAGTTTGTGACAACATGAAATAATTATAGAGTGATCCGAATCAGAATGCTTGGTTCACAGCAAGGTAATATTTCATCAATATTTAAAAATGATAACTCTCTCATTGATTCTATGAAGGCATAGGTTAATATCCCTAATTTAAAACCTGTTATCTTTGCTACTTTTAAAAAACAGCTTTCTTATTTTAGCTTCATTAAATATTAAAACAGAACCTGGGTTTTAAACTCTCTTCATTAGATTAATCAACAGAAAATACAGATGTAATCATAACCATCATAATCTTGCTTTGCGTTCTTCACCTGTAGTCAGGCTAATGCCTCAATGTTTTGCTAATACTCTGATCAATATATGTTTTATTTCTGGGAAACTCTGTATAATGTCTTTGCTAATTTATCCTCAGAGAAATCAAGTGTCCATTTGCCTATGTATGAAGTAGAGACACCGGTGAGTAAAAGAAATCAACTTTGTAAAATTATCTAATTGGCTTGGTAAATTTTTATTTAGCCAGATAAACTCATAATAATATGAATGCAATAAAGAGGGCAAGGACAGCCATTCTTTTGATGATCAAATTAGTAATCAATAATGGTGTGTATGAAGCAAATGCATCCGGGTATTTAACCATTTTTACATCCTCTCATATGGTAAACAGTACAACAATAACAACTTCCATTTATATAGTATCCTTTACACAGGGTCATGCCTCAGACCACTTAAATTCTGAATCTCAAAAATAATAATAATAATAATCCTTGCATTTGATATAGCGCTTTTCACGTCGGGAAGACATCCCAAAGCGCTTTACAGAATATACTGTAAGGTGAATTGACTGTATATTTGTGGGCGAACGCGGCAGCCAATTGCGCACAGCAATGTCCCACAAACAGTCGTAGATTGAAAATGACCAATTTATTATTGTTTTTGGTTTTTGGAGAGATTATTATTAGGCGTGTGGAGTAAGGAATCTTGCCCAAGGTTTCGCCCTGCCTGGAATTGAACTCAGGTCTCTCGCTTGCAAAGCAAGTGCTCTAATCACTGAGCTACAGGACTCCATAATAAACTATCTTTATTAAAAAGTTAGGACTTAACAATAACCAAAGTGCACTGCAACCAAACACATTGAATTGCAAAGAAAAAACTTTATACAGCTCTTGATTCTGACAAGTTCTAGGAAAAAAAGGTAATTGGGAAAATATATGGAGCTGCACAGAAGGTCCCAGATTCAATCCTGTTTCTATTAAATTAGTTCAACTCAATTGAGTTGACAATGCGAGACAACTGGTCTCAACATCACAAGCTGTGGAAGGTTTCTGCTCTTGATTATTTGCCCCTGATCGTGTGGATCTCAGGCGTAGACAGGATTGTGTTTGCTTGTGATGTCCCCCATTGATCGAATTGGCTTTACCAATCCACGCTCTTACCTGAGGAATGGGTATCTGGTGAAGTACCAGAGAGCCCACTTTCAGGAGACCAGGGAGGAAAAAACAGAAAAGAATTCCAAGAAATTGCCAATCTAGAAACTATGAAACACAGAATCTATAACAACGAAGGCGGCTATTCGGCCCTCAAGCCTGCACTAACTCATAGAGCAAAGATACCCCACCTTATCCACAAACTGTTTGAAAGCTCTCTCTTTCATATTCCTATCCACTTCCCTCTTGAAAGCTACAATGGACTTTGCCTTCATTA